GAAACAGACACACGTGTGGAGATGACCCCACCCCTTCATCAGTGCTTAGGAACAGCTACCCTTGATAATCAGGTAAGAGTTAAGTGTAGGTGACGTTGGACTTCCGGGGGGGGTGGGCACTGTGTTTAGAACGAGGACTTGTTCCGAGGCCGCACCTAGTGAGGGCCTGGTTCTCGGGTGCTCTGCCGGTGAGAGGGCCGCCGACCTCGGGGGTCCCGCCAGCTCTGTGGCCTCAGTTTCCTTGCCCGTCTACAAAGACTGGGTAAGTGCATTGGAACAGGAAATGATCTTTACGTTTTCTCCCAGCTTCAAGCTGGGAAGAGCCTGTGGTTTGTGAAATTTCTTATCCTGAGCCCTTTACTTATCTCCAGTAAAACTAGAGCAAGTGTAACCATTTAATGATCTACAGGAAACTGCATTGATAGTATCTTTATGAAAGACACTCAGCTGTCATTTATACATGCCTATTCACGCGTGTGTTCGTGTACAGTTGTGTATGATGGTATATTATACTCACTACTGTAGTACAGTAGCTCCTTAATACACTTTATACTCTTCTGATGTACTGCACCAATAAAGTCGGTATGTTATATTGTGTTAACTTTACTACAGTGTAAACTCTACTAATTATAATGTATCTGGGGCACTAATCTTACACTGTTTCGTTGTTGTGGTTCGTAGAAGTAAACCATGAACATGTCTAAACCAAACCAAAAATACAGGGGTCCCCTTTGCCAGCTCACGGTCCTGCTTTAGGGACAGTTCCCGTAAAGTGTGTTTGGGCCCAGCCTGTCACCTGACGTGGGACCAAGTTCCTCACTGGGTGGGGTGGAGCTTTTCAGATTGTGCTCGGTGGGATCTCAGGCTCTGTAGAGAGTCTCTGAATTCCGAGAAAACAGCTGAGAACATGTGTAAAATGTGACTAACACACGTGGGGAGCGGCTGGTGGCCTGCGCAGCCTGCCCACGCTGGGTGCCACGGTCCCGTCCCCCCTGCACAGCGCACCGCCTGGTGGTGTGCTGGCAGATGCATTGGGTTGCACGGTCAGGTGCTGCCCGGCCCTGTCCGCCTGATGAGACAGTACCCTGTGATCCAAGGACAAGCTGTCTGCAAACAGCTGCTGTGTGCATTGCTCCGGGCCTGCACCGCACCCCCTGGCAGCCAGGACAGGCTCAGCAGGTGTGATGCTGCAGCCCTCGGCCACATGTGTGGGTCCATCGGAACGCTTAGGCGTCATCACCGTGGGCTTCGCGACATAATGTGCCATAAACGAGCTCATGCAATCAACGGGGAGGAATTCCGTGTACGATTCCTTTGGGGAAATAGTTCCGTTGCTGACAAAGCTTGGAAGCCACTGATGTAGAGAAATGGGCAGAGGCTTGTGAGGCAGACGGCGTGGGTTTGAGCCCGGCTTCCGTGGCTTTCTGATGGATGGCCCAGGCAGCGCGGGGTGCCTCTGAGCCACAGGGCATCCCCTGGGGACCGGGCCTGCTCTCCAGCTGGCAGGACAAGTGTGCAGAGGGGCCTGTTCCGGTGCCTGGTACACACAGAGTCTAACACGTGACACCTCTTCTCCGCTTTCTGTGCTGGGAATGGCGGCCACCGTGTTTCGGGTCTGGCCAGTAACAGCAGTCTTTTTACACTGCATTTACTATGTATTTATACACGCATCTCAGTGTATCTGCGTATGTACGCGCACAGAGAACACAGTATGTGCAGACCCTGGTCAATATATTTCCCTGTAATTTGGGGACTTCTAGGCCCGTTTCTCTTCCTGCTGCCTCTGCTTCAGATGTCCCTCTCGTCCATGCCGAAAGCGGCGGGGCTGCACCGGAATCATGTCTCGTGCTTTAGTGTTTGCCGTAGGAAGGAAGCTGAGCAGCCGCGTGCGCAGCCTCGTGCGCCAGGCCGTGGAAGCCGCTGGTTTCTCCGTGCGGGCTCTTTGTGGGTGCGGGTGGCCTGCAGAGCTCCCGGCCCCGGGCAATGTTCTCGGGCCCCTGGGACACTGAGGAAGGAAACGAGCTGATTGAAGAAGCTGACGCCCACCGCCTGTGACAGACTCACTGTGGCTCCTGGGAGAGGGTGTGGAAGCAGGAAAAACACAGGCAGCGTGGCCAGTGCCTGCTGCCCCGCGGCCCGTGGCCGCCCCTGGGGTTGGCAGCAGAGTGAATAGTTCGCAGTAAACAAGCAGGACCACGCCCTGGCCGGTTCGGCTCAGCGGTTAGAGCGTCGGCCTGCGGTCCCGAGAGACCCGGGTTCGGTTCCCGCTAAGGGCATGTACCTCGGTTGCAGTTTGTCCCCGGCTCTGGTCAGTCGTGCGGGTGGCAGCCACTCGATGTGTCCCTTTCACGTCGATGTTTCTCTCTCTCTGTTCCTCTCTCTCCCTCCCACTCTACCTGAACAAAAAATGGAAAAATGTCCTCGGGTGAGGATAAAAAAAACAAACAAACAAGCAGGACCACAAAGGGGCTCGCTGTGCCCTCCCCCCCGCACTGGCTCCCATGCAGGGCAGCGGGCACGGGTGGACGGTGGTCCCTTCTCTGCAGGTGTGCGGGCTGGGCAGCTGCAGCAGGGAGACCTCGTCGGAATTCCACAGCTTGAACCCGGGAGCAGCCGGCCCTCCCTGCTGCTTGTGCTTCTGGGCCTTTGTGCTGAAAGCCACCTGTCGCTGGGAAAGGGATGCAGAAGGCGGGGGGCTCTCGCTCCGGGTCTCCGCAGCTGATGTTTTCGTGACATTCTGAAGAGGTTGAGACCCCGGAGATCCCAGCAAGGGAATTAGGAGGGGTGTTCGGGGGGCAGAGGCTGTCCCTCAACAGAGATGGCTTTTACCTCCTGGAGGACGTGGCCCCCGTGGAATGGGCCCGGTGGATGTGGGTGGCGGTGACCAGCAGTGGGGACTCCAATCTGCTGGTCCTTCAAGGAAGCCCCGGGAGGAGGCAAGTGAGCTCCGTGCGTTTTGTGGCGTTTACCCTGATGCAGACAGTGCCGGGGGCCGGGGCGACCCCCAGGGCCCACCGGGCAGGCCCCAGCTCCCGTACCCCTCTGAGGCTCAGTTCTGGAACTTTCTTGTGTTCTTCCTACTGGTAAACAGACTCTGCAAAACCTCGAGCAGCTGGAGCTGTTCTTGTGCAGGTGGATTTAAATTCTGCCGCTGGACCAAAGCTAAGCTCCTTCCTGTCCAGTCCGTCTGTGAAAAGGCAGCCTGGCCCCGTCGGGTTTGTGGAACTGGGTCTCTGCTCGTGGGACTTGATAGTTTGGGGGCCTCGGCTCTTGGGATCCCTCGAAAGCCGTTCTGATGTTTCTGTTCATCTTTTTGGGCCCCTGGAGGCGTTCGTGGCTGGTTGGGGGAGCCAGGGTCCTCAGAGGGGTAGGGCGGGGATGTCTTGAGCACCGCTGAAGGGAGTTACTGACGAACAAGTTACAGAAGCAACTCCGAGGCAGGTGTTCTGCAGGAGAGCTCACCCAATGGCTCCTTCAGCCCTGGCTGACCGCAAAGGGCTGGCCGGTTCCTGTTCTCTCCGCAGATGGTCTTTATTTTATTTATTGATTTATTGTTGTTATTACTATTTTTCAATCCTTACCCAAGGATAGTTTTCTGTTTATCTTCAGATGGAGTGGGAGGGAGGGAGAGAGGGAGAAACATCGATGTGACAGACACATTGCTTGGTTGCCTCCCTCATGACCCCGACCAGAGAACCACACCCGAGGTACGTGCCCTTGACCAGAATGGAACCTGCAGCTCTTTGGTCCACGGGCTGACGCTCTAACTGTTGAGCCACACGGGCCAGGGTGGCAGATGGTCTTTCGAAGATGCTGACCTCTGCCGAGGTCACCGGTCCTCTGACCCTGGTGGGAGTTGGGCAGTCTGAGCATTTGCTGCCACATTCGCCTAACATGCTCCCCCTGAGTTGCCCCCCAGGCCCCTTGTCCCGGCAGCCCTCCTCGGGAACGGCCTGCTCCCTAATGGCCCCCCTATCTAAGATGTCCCGAGAGAGGAATCAGCCCGGGTGACGCTGCTTGCACTCTGGCCCCCTTGAGCGAGGTGGGCAGGACCGGGACCACTGGGCCTCTTCAGTGAGCTCAGAGCGGCCCTGCGGCCCAAGGACACGCTGGCTCAGGGACTGGGGGCCTCGTTCTTTCTGGTTTAAAGTGGAGGCCCCAGCAGGAGGCGATGAGAAAGAGGGGTCTGCTCCGGGTTTTCCTGAGCCCAGGACCAGGCTTTAGTTTGGTGAGTGGCCTCCCCTCGTTACCAGGTGGGGCGTCCTCTGGGTGGAATTTTGGTCCATTTTTCCGAGTCAAGAATCTCCCCTGAGCGCAGACCAGCGAGGGCCATTTCCACACTGTCGGGGTCAGCGGGTTGTGCTTCGGCGCCTGGTCTGGCCCGTCCTCCAGCTTCCGGGGGCCGGTTCCGTCCATCCATCCGTTCGTTCATTCATGCACTCGTTCATTCAACACACGCTCATTCGCCGGTTCAGGCTTGGGGGTGCTGTGGCTCCCTGGCTGCCCTCGTCACCTCCCCAGCTCAGCAGAGGAGAAAGATAACGAACGTGATGAGAGAGAACAGATCCGTCGTCACAAGTGATGAGACGCGTGGAGAGAAGGACATGGTGGGGGGAGGCTGGATGCCATTCTGGGGGGTCCCGTGGGTGTGTGGGAACCACGACATCAAAGAGTGTTCCCAGACACCCCTCCGTGTCAGTTAGAATCGACGCCAGAGAGCGTGCAACAATGTTGATCCAAAGAGCCCACTGTTTGGATTTGCCACTAAGGCCAGAAATATGTGTTTTGTGTAGAGCTGAGTTCGAAGAATGTATCAGTTGGGCACAAAGTTACAGTAATGAGAGTCGCTCTCGGGAATTGAGCTGCAAAGTGACTTTCCTCACGTCTGTCCTCGAACAGTGCAACTGGGCCCTGAGCCTGTTCCACGGGGGGTCGGAGGCCACGTGCTCTCGCCGCCCCGGCCCCGGCCTCACCTTGTGTCTCCTGTCTCTCTCCCTCAGGAGTTCTGACTCTGAAGAAGCGTTTGAGACCCCAGAGTCGACGACCCCTGTCAAAGCTCCACCGGCCCCACCCCCACCACCCCCGGAAGTCATTCCAGAGCCCGAGGTCAGCGCGCAACCTTCCCCGGAAGAACCAGGTAACCGAGGCTCAGGCGCCCCTTGGGGAGACACAGCGACTCCTCCCGGGGCGTGGCTGGCGGGGGGCACCCGCCCGGGGCTGTCTCTGGAGCCACTCGGACAGCCCCCAGGTGCTGGGCCCCCGGCTCTGAGGTGTTTGACGTGAGTGAAAGCTAAGGGTGAACAGGTGCAGCAGGGGTTCTGTGTTCACTTTGCAGGACTTTGGGGGCAGCTTCTGGGAAACCCCTTAGGTAGCTCTGGGCACCTCGCACCCAGGACTGGGTTTGAGGGGCGGGTGGCCTGGAGGTTTCTGGTGCCGTCTCCGGTCCGACCGTTCGGCCCCCGGACCCTGTAAGGACGCCGATTCTGCACGGTGCACGGGAGCCTGTGTTCTCGTGACAGCACGTGGCTGCAGGGACGTGGGAATGAGGCTGGTACACGGGCAAATAGAGGACAGAGCTAGAGCCGGGCGTGGCGGCTCAGGGGTTCCTCGTTAGCCTCGAGTTACCGATTTCCTGCCCCTTTCCCACGTTCTGTCCCCAGTGTGCCTTAAAATGCAGGCCTTTCTGTACCTTTGAGGTGCGGTGATGACTAAGAGACGGGACGGGTCTCCTTTCCCAGCCACCAGCCTGCCCACCTGCCCAGTGTTGTTCTCTGCCACACCCTCCGGTACATGGCAGGGATGGGACCACATCTCGCATGAACTTTAACCCGAGGCTGGAAGGAAATGGGCGGTCAGAAATGGCCCCACAGACCGGTCAGGGGCCAGGGGGTGCTCTCCTCAGACCCGGACAGCCTGCCCTGGGCCCCACACTTGGAGGACCCCACCTGCTCAGGCCTCAGCCCTCGCTGGGGGAGGAGTCTGTGGGGCACCCGCCTCTGGACCCTGCTCTGACGGCTGGGCCCACCCAGACCCCTCTCCTGACCCATCCCCCATGCGTCATATTCGCACCTTTCAGCTAAGGAGTAGCGAGGGTGGGGCTGGGACCCACAGCCTCCAACACCTGTGCTTGAGGCTGCCCGGGGAGGGGGGAGCTGGGTGGGAGAGGAGGAGGGGCTGGGGGGCCTGCCCTCCTGCCCCGACCAGGAGCCAGGTGGTCTGCAAAATGACTAACATTCTGACTTTGATGTTAGTTTTAGAAACATCAAAGCAGGCCCAGGGTTCAAGCAGGCTGTGGTTCTAGAAAGGACTGGGTGCACCTGGGCTCCGTTCCTAACAGCAGTGCCCCGGTGCGGGGTGGTCACTTTTAGGGCGAGCAGGTGTCTTGCTGCTGCCTGGTGAGGGCGGTGTCCCCGCGCCCCCTTAGACAGCCCCTCGGCGGGGCCGGGCCCTGCACAGCCAGCCTCGGGCTGGGCTCCGAGGGCGCAGTCCCTGGAATCTATTTGATTAGTCTGGCAAAGAAACCAGAGGACTACCTACGTTTCTCAGAGTCTGTTATAGCCTCACTTTCTTTATGTACTAAAGTGTATTCAGCGTTCATTTCTTCCCTGGCTGGTTTGGCTCGGCGATTAGAGCGTCGGCCCACGGACCAAAGAGTCTCTGGTTCAATTCCGGCCAAGGGCACGTACCTCGGTTGTGGTTCATCCCCGGCCCTGGTTGGGGGCGTGCAGGAAGCAGCCAGTCAGTGTGTCCCTCTCACATTGATGTTTTTCTCTCTCTCTCCCCCTCCCTCCCACTCTATCTGAAGATAAACAGAAAAATACCCTCGGGTGAGGATTTAAAAAATAAATAAGTAAACTGTCCTTTTCAGTGGGTATAACAGGTGCATGCCTGCCACGTGGGACACGCTAGAAGAGAATTGAGAAGGAAAACGGTGGCGTTCCGTCGTGTGGTCCCTCCCGGAGCGCCGGGCAGTGAGTGGCGGCCAGGACTTCAGCCGCGCATCCTGGGTGGCCCTCGGGGTGGCCCCCACTTCTGTTCCTTCCTTTGTCCGTGTTCCTCCGCTTCACTTCCTTTCCAACAAAGCAAAACAGTCTCCACTCTGAGAAACAAACACGAGCACCCACCTCCGCCTCGGACGCCGGTTCTGAGAGAGGGAGCTCGACGGGGCGGACACGAGGCCGCCCGGGAACTTGGAGGGGTAACCCCTCGGCCGGGGGCTCGGAGCTGCGCTTACACCGGGTGGCGTCTCGAGCGGGGACTCACGCTCCTCTTGGGAAATGACAGCAAGACTAAATGCGTGTGGATTATTCAATGAGAAGGCCTGTGGGGGGCGGCATCTGCTTAACGCCCCCCCCCCCAGCTTGGGCTGTGCAAAGATCCATTTGGTTTGCTGTGCCCAGTGGAAGAGTCTGCGGTCCCCTCCGCGTGGGGCGGCCCCGAGGCGTGGGAAGGCCACGCTTTCTCACAGACGTGGCCAGAGAAGGAGGAAGCTGCCCTCTGAGAACCTCGGCAGAGCAAGGGCAGGAGAGGAAGGGCTATTGTGTGGTCTTCCTCTGCAGAGTGCGGGGGACATTGCTAACGGAGCCGGGAAAAGCGCATGAAACAATAGACGAGACCTTTGGCCGTGAATAAAGTCTCGGTTTTTCCTCCTGGAAACTCCCATTTTACAGAGCAATCTGTCCCCTGATCTCGGGTCCTGCCGCGTGTCTGCACTCACGGGACGGAGGACGGGGGAGTCGCTGGGGTTCATCCTGCGTCCATCCGCCCCGTTTATCAGAGCCCAGCTTGCTTGCCCTTCCCCCTCAGGTGTCCACGGTCCCGTGAGTGGGACACTTGGCTGCTGTGCAGGGCCAGTGTCCATAGGACTCCGCCTGGCCATGGAGAGTCATAATTAAAGGTCACAGGATCAAATCATAGGTCCCATTTCAGCACCCGCGTGGGCCAGGCCCGTGCAGGCTCTCTGTATGCTGTCTCCAAGTCAGATAAGAGCACAAACAGTATGACTCGCGATAGTTATTATCCTTGTACTTAGAAGGTTACAGCTCTCTCCCTGTGGGGAAGGCCAGTTGCCCTTGATACCTTGGTTCAGGGTCAGAATCTGCAGCCTGTGTGCACGGAGTGTCACAGGTGGACCCCGCTAGTCCTCTGGGCTCGTGGAGAGAGGGGCAGCAAGGGGAGGGGAGAGGGCCCTGGGCAGCCGGCAGTGGGCTGGCCTTTGGAGACAGTGGGGCGGCACCCCTGGGAGTCGGTAGTTGCCTCTTAGCTTTCTCTCTGTGCTCGGAACGTCCTTGTTTTCAGACACAGCTGTACTGGCCTAGCTTGGGGTTTCATTGCCTCTCAGTGTCGACCATGTGTCAACATCATCATGCTGACACCCCAGTCCCCCCGGGCTGGATGTGAAGGCAGCACCTTGAAGGAGGTCGTAAGGTTAAATGGGGTCCTTAGGTTAGGGCCCTCATTCAGTAGGACGAGTGTCCTGTTTGGAGAGGAGGAGACCCCAGGGACATGTTCACGGAGAAGAGGCCGCATGGGGACATGGGGAGAAGGCCGCCGGCCGCCGGGAGGGAGGCCTCGGAGAAACCGCGCCTGCCGACACCTTTCCCGTGGACTCCAGCCTCCAGGACTGCGAGAGAAACGCCGTTGTCTGCGCCCCCAGTCTGCAGTCCTTCGTAGCGGGGGCCCAAGCACACGGATGCGGACCTTCCAGCGGACCTTCCGTGTGATGGACCAGGGAGGCTGATCTCGGCATCAGACGGGCCGAGCCGGGCCCAGGCGACGGACACTGCTGGGTGCACGCGCTGGGCGCCGTGTTCACAAGGGTGGGTCCGTCTGGCATCTTGTCCGCCCTGCCTCTGTCCACAGCAGCCCCACAGTGGCCGGCACATCGGGGCACCCAGGTCATTTGTGGAATGGACGCAGGGTCTTCATGCACAGAGGGTGTGTGTCCGGAAACCCGGCTGGACCACACGTGCTTTGCGATGTCAGGCCGTCGCGTGGCAGCGACCTTTTCTCCTGTCCGCGGCGGCGTCCTCCGAGGAGGGCGTGGAAGGGGCGCCCAGCCCCGGAATGAGCGGTTCCCTCTGGTCACCACACAGTAAGACAGCAGTCCTCCACCAGGGACAGGTTTGCCCTCCAAGGGGACGTTTGGCGACTCCTACAGACATTTTTGGCTGTTACTCCTCGGGCAGGCTGCTACCGGCATCTGGCCAAGGGTGGTCCCCAACAGCCCACCATGCACAGGCGGCCCCACCACAAAGAACTGGGCGACGTGGCCCGGTGCTGGGTGAGAATCCCCGCAGCAAGGGCCGGTCTCCCGGGCCGTGGCGATTTGACCGGGGAGTGTCTGTTCCCAGGGGACCGCTCTCTGCAGCAGCCGGGACTTTTCTTCTGGGGGAAACCGAGCAGATGGCTACGCTGACTCTGCTCATGTTTCGGGCGGAACCGGCCGCCTCTGAAGAGCCTCGCACGGCCTCTTCGTCCAGCTGCTGGGCCAGTGTGGCGGCCCGAGAGCCAGCAGGTGGCGGCCCGAGAGCCAGCAGGTGGCGGCAGCGGCCTTGCCTGAAAGTGACGTGCTGGGCGAAGCCTCCTTCTCCCTCCGAGGCCGCTCTCGAGTGCCCCTGTGTCCCCGTCCTCTGTGCCCCCATCCTGTGACCAGCGCAGGAAGACCAGCTGTGTTGATGGGAGTGTGGGGGCCTGGAGGAAAAGGGAGGGAGTTGATTTTAAAAGGGGAACAAGTGGAGACACCCCTGTTTTGAGGGCAGGAACCGGGAGTATTTCCAGATGAGGGAGGAGGCATCTGTGGGGCAGAGAGAGGAGCTTTGGCCAAATGCTCCACCTTGTAGGACGTCCGCCCCGAGCAGGGCCTGGGCGGCGTCGGTGCAGAGTGGACGGGAGGTTTGGCACCGGGACCGGCCGCGAGGGGTTCTTCCGGGAGGTGCTCTCAGCTCCCAAGGCGTTTGCTGACCGCGAGGGGAGGTGCCCGCATCTCGGGGAGCCCGGGCGAACGCTGAGGCTTCCTCGTGGTGTCGCCTGGCTCGCCTGCCCCGGGAGGAAGGTCTCCTGGGCGTAGTTGGGTCAGCACCACGGGACGTGCGCAGCACCCGGAGTTTGCCGTCTTGAGCGTGAACTGCTCTCAGAAAAACCCACGGGGAGAAGCCGGTTCCGGTTGACGTGAGCGTTTCCCAGACCTGTTTGCATGTGGGATGAGGGGTAGCACCCCCAGAGTTAGCAAATAAAAACAGGGTGCCCGGTGAAATTCTAATCTCAGATACACAACAGAGAACTGGGACATGGGACGTATTCATACCAATAATTGTCTTCCTGTACCCGAGATTCAGATTTAACTGAACATCCTGTATTTTATCCCACACCCAGACCGGCGGGGGTGGGGCGGGGGCTGCAGGCAGAACTCTTGCCGGTGAGACGCCCGCGGGGAACGCATCCCGCGCCACGCGTGCCATCTTCAGGTCCTTCCGCAGACCACTGTGTGTACCCCTTCCCGGCGGCAGGTGTGTGGCTTTCTGGCCCCTTCTGTCTGGCATCCGTGACTCCTCGGACAGCAGGGGGCCAGAAAGCACATGAAGGGCACTGGGTGCCCGCAGAGCCCAGAGCGGCGAGTCCAGGCACCAGGTCCCCACGGGCCAGGGCTGGGGGTGCGGGAGCCTCTCTTGGCCAGCAGCGGCTGAGCGTGGGGAGAGCCAGGAGGGGCAGCAAAGGCTGAGAGGACAGAAGAGGATCCTGGCAGACGGTGTTGGAGGAAGAGGTTGCAGGGACGCCAGGAGTGGGGACAGGTGGCAGGTGGGGCCAGCTCAGTCCTGCTGCAGTTGCCTGGGGGGGGAATCTCCCTCTTGCTCTCAGTGACCGATTAGCAAGAACAGGCTTGGCGACAGGAACAGCTGATATTTCCGAAAGGCTTCCGGCGCCGGCCTTGCCGTGTTCCTGGCTCCCTCCCCTGCTCCCCTCCCTTGCTCTAGCCCCACTGGTGTTTCTGTAACACGCCGGGCGTGGCTCTGTCCCAGGGCCTTTGCACCTGCTGTGCCCTTTGCCCGGGATGCTTCCCCCGGGATGGCCTCCTGGCTCACACCTTCACTTTGTTTCCCATCTCTGTTTAAATGTCTCCTCCTCGGAGGGCTTTGCCCGACTACCTCATTGTGAAATCGCAAGGCCCGTCCACCGCGCACACAATGGCACATTTTCCTCGTCTGTTTGCTTCTTGGCCGTCTTTGCTCTGAAGAGCATGACTCCCAGGAGCACAAGGATTTTTCTGGTTTTGTTCATGGTGGAATCGCCGGCACCCAGGATGGTGCCTGGTCCCAGCTGGGCACTTGGTAAATGTTTTCATGACTGTGGGCCGAGATGTTCCTTAGCAGCCCGTCACTCCTGGTCACGGAGGAGGGTACTGGGCGGGGGGGGGGGGGGGGCACCCAGGTCTGGAGCTGCTACTGGGCGAGAGCAGGGTTCGTGCCCCCTGGACGGGCCAGGTTGGCGGGGGCTCTGCTTGGAGGGTGGTGGTCTGGCGTGAGAAGTGCCCGTGTCCTCACGTGACTGCTCTGTCTGGTGTCCTCAGGGTGCAGCGCCGAGCTGGTGTCCGTCCCCGATGGCCCGCGCCGCCCCTCGGTGGACGGCAGTCCCTTCCGGCCTCCCACCCACTCCTTCTCCGCCGTCTTTGACGAGGACAAGCCCATAGCCAGCAGCGGGACGTACAACCTGGACTTCGACAGCATCGAGCTGGTCGACACGTTCCAGACCTCGGAGCCGCGCTCCTCGGACGCCAGGAGCCAGGACTGCAGAGCGAACGCGCGGAGGAAGTCCACCGACTCCGTCCCCACCTCCAAGTCCACGCTGTCCCGCTCGCTCAGCCTGCAGGCCAGTGACTTCGACGGTGCTTCCTGCTCAGGCAACACCGAGGCCGCAGCCCCGGCCCCAGACACCAGCAGCACGGGTTCGAGCGGCGATTCTAGTACCCTTAAGCGAACTAAGAAACCGAGGCCACCTTCCTTAAAAAAGAAACAGGCCACAAAGAAGCCCCCAGAAACACCCCCGGTGAGAGAGACACAGCAGGAGCCGACCGAGGAGAGCCCGGTCCCCGGCGAGGAGAACCGCGCATCTGAGACAGAAACGGAGTCGGCCCAGCCGGAAGGTTCTGGACCGGCCCCAGCTGAGGAGGCACCCCCAGAACCTGCGGCCGTGCCCAAGGCTGCCTGTCCTCTGGACTCGGAGGGTGCCGAAGGGGCCCTCCCCCCAGCCTCTGGCGGTGGCAGAGTCCAGAACTCACCCCCCATTGGGAGGAAGTCGTTGCCTCTTGCCACGGCCCCAGAGGCGGTGGAGGTGACCCCAGCAGATAGCGGGGGACAGGAGGACTCCCCAGCCAAAGGGCTGTCGGTGAGGCTGGAGTTTGACTATTCTGAGGACAAAGGCGGTTGGGACAGCCCGCAGGAGAACCCCCCTCCTACCAAAAAGATAGGCAAAAGGCCGGTTGCCAAAATGCCCCTAAGGAGGCCAAAGATGAAAAAAAACCCCGAGAAACTTGACAACACTCCTGCCTCGCCCACCAGCTCCCCCGCGGAGCCCAGCGACATCCCCATTGCGAAAGGGACCTACACCTTCGACATCGACAAGTGGGATGACCCCAGTTTTAACCCTTTTTCCTCCACCTCGAAAATGCAGGAGTCTCCCAAACTGCCCCAACAATCGTACAGCTTTGACCCCGACTCCTGTGAGGAGTCCGCGGACCCCTTTCAGACCCCCAGCTCGCCTTCGGAACCTCCAGCTTCCTTTGAGATCCCGGCCGGCGCCTCGGACGGCGGTGCTGTGGACAGCGACGGGCTGAACAAGCCCAAGAAGAAGAAGACGCCGCTGAAGACGTAAGTTCAGGGCAGCGGGGGGGCCGTCCCCTGGCTTCACCCTGGGTCCCCTGCCCGGATAGCCTTGCGCCCCTCCCCATCCCCATCTGCCACGTGGCTCCGTTTCCCCACCCACGTATCCCTTTGGGTCCAGAGTGCATGGCCTGTGGCCTTACTAAGTCAGTGGTCTAACGCTGTCCCTGGCGACCTGGCATTCAAGTCCAGGGGAGCGCTGGGGACCCCACAGAACAGAAACAGTCCTGTAGGGACCTGGTCGGCCTCCCTGTGCATCTTTTTCCCATTGAGCATGTTGCATTGCTTTCTGGAGTGGCGTGGAAGCTAGGAGATGCGCCCTTACAACATTGTTAAAATGGACACTTTGTTTCTGTCCGGGACTGAGATTAGTGCAGGAGGCAAACAGTAAGCTCGGGAGGCCTGGGCCCCTCCCTGCACCCCGCCAGCCAGTGAGAAATGCCCGTTTGTTCCCATCCCTGTCTCTGGCCATCCTCTGAGCTAGAGTCCAAAGGCTTTGTAGACCCAGAGTTCAAAGCCATCGCCACAGTCCTCGGGGGCCCCTCAATAATTGGATCTGTTGTCCACAAACACTCACCCCGGAATGCCACATGTCCGTGCCCCCAGAACCCACTCCGAGGCGCAGCGCTGACTTGGATGGCTGCAGGTCCATTTCCAGGACTTCGGGCCCAGCGTGGATGGGTTTGGGATGAGGAGCCTCTGTCTTTGCTCTCATATGAAGGGTCGTCAGAAATTTAACGAAGCCACGGAGACCAGCAGAATAGGCCTCGGCCGCTGGCCCCCAAGTCTCCCTGGCGCTCATCAAATCGGACAGGGTGACCTGGTTAGCTCCCAGCTGGGCTCCCCTGAGCACTTACCATCCGAGAAGAGCCCAGTTCTTCCCTAGAAGAGCTTCTCTGGAGGGCTCGGCCTTGGATCACCTGCAACCGTCTGGCGGTGGGCGGGAGGCAGTCCGGGCCCGAAATGGGGACTCTTATTAGATCAGTTACCCCAACAGGCTCTTGCTAGAGATTCCACAGCATCTGCACTAGAAGTTTTATTTCAAGCCTAAAGCAAGAGAAGTCTGAGATGCTCAGACGGCAGGGGCATGTTCTCTGAGATGCTCAGACGGCGGGGGCATGTTCTCTCATCTTTGGCCAGGAGCCAACTTGTAGCCCCCGCCCCCTTCCCCGCCAGCTTGGCTGTACCCTGTTTTGTCATCAGAGCTAATGGAGGTCAGGGAGTCTGCGCTGGCGGACAAAGCTGTGGGCACCCACGCTTTCTGGGGTCACCGGCACCCAGCATGTACAGTGTCCCCCAGAGGCCCGTCCAGTGCCCGGGCTCCCGCGCAGAACCCATAACAAGTGGCTGTTGCATCCTCACCCATCAATGGCCAGCTGTCTGCAGATTTATCTTTTGTCAGTTCCTCTGTCTGTCTCTCTTTTTCTTTGTCTTCTTGTCTTAGGATGGTTGAAGATGTGATGTCTGTGTGTTCTCTGTTGTAAGTAAATTTAATGGACTCTGCCTCTTACACCCAGTGCGCTCCATCCGACCTGTTTCTGCCTCCGAGCTCTGTCCCTCCCACTCCATGGCTGCTTCTCCCCTGTCCCGGGGGCCTGGGAATGGCGGGGCACGGGGCTTCCGGGAGCGGAGACTCCTTTCTGGTTCGTGGTGATGAGCTTCGGTGAGACTGCTTGGCCGTGGAAACGTGACTGCCTGTCGGGAATGGAACGCCCCCCCGCATACTGGATGTCTTCACCTGAAACCCACACATTGTTTTTAAACCCTCCTCTCGTTCTTCCGCGTGTAAACCGGTCCAGGCGATGGCTTTCAACGTGCCGTGGCTCCGCGTGGAAACAGCCATCCCGCCGGTCACAGGCACTGCCTGGTGCTCACCTGTGAAGCAGGGATGCTTGGGCTGTTCCACACTGAGACTTGCGGGGGTCCCCTGAAATCAGGGCCCCGACGGAGCCACCGCTGTGAGCCTTCGCCAGGCTGCTCAGGGCCTGCATCCGTGATCGCCTGGGGCCAGGCTGGGGGTCCGCATGCCATCCGTGGGGCGTGGTCCCGCCGGGTGTCGGGGAAACAGAGCAGACCACACCAGAGCCTCTGCGGCTCTGCCCCTCCGGCCAGGGGGTCCTTGGGCAGTTCCCAGGGGCCCAGGACGAGTTCCTTCCCTGCCCCCCTGTTTGTACCAGGGAAGCTAGCCTGGTCCCAGGCACCCAGCAGCCCCAGGGGAGGGCAAGTCTCTCCGACTCTCTTCTGCTCAAGGGAGTTCAGTATTTTAGAGCCATTTAGCAGTTTCAGAAACATAGAGTTAATGTATTTATACGCACAAATAAATACATGCTTGGAGCTGTGATGGCGCCGTCCGTGTGGCCAGTGCCATAAATGCATACAAACCACTTGTGGCGTGGTCTCCATGCGTGAACGCCCTTGTTGGAGCATTCTATTAGGGAGAACACACGGATGGAACTTCAGTGCCGAGTTGCTGTCCACCTGTTACCCTAAGAGCAGGGAGGGGAGTGGGAGCTAAGGCAGAGACTCCCCCTGTCCCAACCCTTGTTTTGTCGGGGGCAGGACCATACCATGGAGGGGTCTGAGGCCGGGAGGCGGGGCCCGGCTGCAGGTGGACAAGCCTCCATCTGACCATGGAAATGGCCCCTGACCTCCCAGTGGGCTTAATGGAACCATCTGGGCTAAAAGTCCCTTCCTTCTGACCCCTTTGGGGGTCTTGTCCGATGTTCCCTTGGCCTCATGTCTTGCTGCCCCCAACTGCTTTTTAAAACTATATTGACTTTAGAGAGGGTGAAAGAGAGAAACATCCATGTGAGAGAGAAACATCAGCTGGTTGCCTCTTGTACCTGTCCCAATTGGGGATCAAACCCACAACCTGGGTATGTGCCCTGAGTGGGAACCGAACCCATGACCTTCCTGTGCATGGGATGATGCTCCAACGGACTGAGCCACACCAGCCTGGGCCAGTTATTTTCATGAAGGAGAAAGTGAAAGAGTCCAGCATCTTAGTGTTAACTGTGGTTAGGAAAGGACACTTAAAAAAAATCATCTTATCCCCGAGAAGAGTCCTGGAGATTGATGATCACTGTATGGATGTACTTAACACCTGAACTGTAGTTAAAAATGTTCAAGGTGGTAAATTTTATGCCATATGTATTTTTTACAGAAATTTTAAAAAGTGGTTGCACCTCCCGCCCTGCCTGTAGTCAGAACCCCACCGAGAAGCACAGGGCTCCTGTGGGGAGGGCGTCTGCACCCCGCTTCCCCGCGTCTGCGCGGCCTGAGGCTGCCCATCTGCCAGCTGGGTCCTGCCAGTTAGTGTCAGGAGCCCCACCCCCTCCTCCACATGGTCGGCTCACACATTCCGCATGGATTCCGGGGTACACGCGTCTGCTCACCCAAAATTGGCTTTTTAACATAAGGAAAAGAAGAACATCTGGTTAAACGTAGCTTAGTTTTCTGGGTCAGCCTCCAAAATGGCATCTCTTTAAAGATGTCTAGCTTGATGAGTCTCTCCCGGGGGGCCCAGTGCCATCCGCTAGAGCCTCAGAAGGGACGTCGGCACGGACTTCCAGGGGTGCTGGCGCGGTGTGGCCGGCGGGGTCTGGGCGACACTCAGCAGAGGCGGTGGCTGGGGTCTGCTCTGTCTGCTCCGGATGTTCTGTGCTTCTGTGTTCACATTCTCCGTTTTGTTTCCAGTGACACATTTAGGGTGAAAAAGTCGCCGAAACGGTCTCCTCTCTCTGACCCACCTTCTCAGGTACAGCGCCCCTGGGTGTCTGTGACTCTACGGCCCACACGGGGTGACGTGTCCCCGCTCGTGCCCAGAGCGCTCCTCTGCGTGGCCACGGAGGGTCCCTCGCTCCTGCTTACTGGTCCCTCTGCCAAATTAAAAACAGTTCTCCTCCCCTGTTTACAGACCAGGGAAGGCTGTCCTCCGGCGCAGGTGCCAGGCCGTTCGAGGTCATGAGACAGACCTTCCACTCCTGGTCTGAGCCAGTGAAGCTCCAGCCAGCCGACCCCTGGCAGGGTGGGGCTTTGGAGAGAGGCCCCCGGCCCCAGGACAGGGGCTTGGGTCCCAGTCCCAGCTCCACTCTGACATTCCTGGGCCCCACGCTACCTGCTGAGCAGCACCCCAGTGGAGATGGGGATGAGCCCTCCTCTCTGTCCCGACCCGGGCGTGAGGGTGGTGGGTGGCGGTGACGTGGGCCCCGCTGCGCTGTGGGCATAGCACAGTTGTCATGGTGACAACGTTGCAGAAGTTACAGTGCACTCATTGTTTTCAAAGTGAACGCACAGGAACATCTCAAATAACTTTTAAAAACCTGTGGGGACCCCTGAAACAAGCCACCAGAAAAGGAGGGGACAGATCGGTTTCCTCGGGACCGCCTTGAGCAGGGCGTGAGGACACGCAGGGCTCTCGACAGGGACCCGTCTAGCTCAGGGGCCCCAGGCGCGTGGTGGGCGGTTTGAGACGCAGAGACCGGGTGAGAGGAGATGGCTCCCCTTTTCCTCACAGGACCCCCCTCCAGCGGTGCCACCAGAAACGCCACCAGTGATCTCGGCCGTGTTGCACGCCACCGACGAGGAGAAGTTGGCGGTCACCAGCCAGAAGTGGACATGCATGACGGTGGACCTGGAGGCCGACAAGCAGGACTACCCGCAGCCCTCGGACCTGTCCACCTTTGTCAACGAGACCAAATTCAGCTCGCCCACGGAGGGTAAGCAACTCGGTGGCCGGCCGGACCCCCACCCTGCCTTGGAGACCGCGGCCCCCAGGGAACAGAAGGCCAGGAAGGAGCCGGCTAAGCCAGGTAACTGCCACGGGCTGCGGCCCCGCGGCATCTGAGCTCGGCGGCGCTTCAGAAGAGCTCGAGGCCCGACCCCGCTGTGCGTGACGCGTGGCCAAGCTCAGCCCGCATGGCTGCCGCTCATTCCCGGTCTCTGGCTTCGCTCATTCTCGGCCGTGCGGCCCTGTCCTTGGTGGTCCTGAATCACGCAGCTCCAGGGAGCACCGGTCCAGGCAGACGGTCAGCGCAGGTCAGCTCCCCGGAGCCTCTTGGTGCCGCCCTCTTCTTGGCCCCAGGGGTGCTCCGCGGTGTGGCCACGCCTTCTCCAAGCCCCGAGCCAGGGGGTCCCCGGCCTGCTGCTGGTCTCCCTCATGGCCCCTCCTTTCCTGTGGGTTCACCCCCTTTCCCATGGATTCATCCCCCTTTCCTGAGGATTCACCCCCCTTTCCTGTGGGTTCACCTCCCTTTCCTGAGGATTCACCCCCTTTCCTGTGGATTCACCCCCTTTCCTGAGGATTCACCCCCCTTTCCTGTGGATTCACCCCCCTTTCCTGAGGATTCACCCCCCTTTCCTGTGGATTCACCCCCTTTCCTGAGGATTCACCCCCCTTTCCTGTGGGTTCACCTCCCTTTCCTGAGGATTCACCCCCCTTTCCTGTGGATTCACCCCCTTTCCTGAGGATTCACCCCCTTTCCTGAGGATTCACCCCCCTTTCCTGTGGATTCACCCCCCTTTCCTGTGGATTCACCCCCCTTTCCCATGGATTCATCCCCCTTTCCTGAGGATTCACCCCCCTTTCCTGTGGGTTCACCTCCCTTTCCTGAGGATTCACCCCCCTTTCCTGTGGATTCACCCCCTTTCCTGAGGATTCACCCCCCTTTCCTGTGGATTCACCCCCCTTTCCTGTGGATTCACCCCCATTTCCCGTGGATTCACCCCCCTTTCCCGTGGATTCACCCCCCTTTCCTGTGGATTCACCCCCTTTCCTGAGGATTCACCCCCCCCTTTCTCGTGGATTCACCCCCCTTTCCTGAGGATTCACCCCCCTTTCCTGAGGATTCACCCCCCTTTCCCATGGATTCACCCCCCTTTCCTGTGGATTCACCCCCTTTCCTGAGGATTCACCCCCCTTTCCCATGGATTCACCCCCCTTTCCTGAGGATTCACCCCCCCCTTTCTCGTGGATTCACCCCCTTTCCTGAGGATTCACCCCCCCCTTTCTCGTGGATTCACCCCCCTTTCCTGAGGATTCACCCCCCTTTCCCGAGGATTCACCCCCTTTCCTGAGGATTCACCCCCCCTTTCCTGTGGATTCACCCTCCTTTCCTGAGGATTCACCCCCCTTTCCCGAGGATTCACCCCCCTTTCCTGTGGATTCACCCCCCTTTCCTGAGGATTCACCCCCCTTTCCCGAGGATTCACCCCCCTTTCCCGAGGATTCACCCCCCTTTCCTGAGGATTCACCCCCCTTTCCTGAGGATTCACCCCCCTTTCCCGAGGATTCACCCCCCTTTCCCGAGGATTCACCCCCCTTTCCTGAGGATTCACCCCCCTTTCCCGAGGATTCACCCCCCTTTCCCGAGGATTCACCCCCCTTTCCGCCCGGCTCTTTGGCTTGGAAAAGTCATGTATCTTCAGTCAGTGTAGCGTGACTGGCTGGATTGTGTCTTAACAGAAAGAACTTAACCACTGACCCTGGTTTTCCTGAATAGTGGCCCCCACACCCCCTCTCTGGTGGGGGAGCAGCTGGAGCCTTCCACTGGGGGCTGACCATTCCCCAATGTGACGTCGTCCTGAGGTCCTACTGTGTGTGGCCTGGGAGCCCAGGGCCCCGACCTGTCACCACACTTCTGAGTCTCCCTTTCCGAGACGCTGGTTTCTAAACGGTTTAAAAGTGTGAGCAGAGGCCTCTGAGGACGATCGGACATGCAGACCCCATCTCCACTCCTTTTCCCTGAACTGAGAACCACGGTCTCCACTCAGCGACCTCTGGTCGTCCCGGGAGGGGGCTCCTCTGTGATCAGGCCGCTCCGTGCTGTGCCCACGAGATCTCTGACCGGCGCCAGTGAGACCCAGTCATGTTTCAGGGGCTGGCGATCCGCATGCTCTCCCTACGCTGCCTTTCTGCCGGTGAAGGGAGCCGGGCGAGGTGTCTGCAGGTTCTGGGCGTTGCGTTTTCTGCAGACCGGTGCCTGGTGTTGGCTGACCGGCCCTCTGGCTCAGGGTTCGGGAGGCGTAACAGTGACCGTGTCACTCCAGCCTGACCCCGGACATGGGCAGGGGCCCCGCTTTTCCTCTGCCCGCACCTGAACCCCGAGCCCTGACACCCCCCGGGGGACGCCCTTCCTCGGCTGCGGGCCCCAGGCGGGAGCGCCCCCTTCCCTGCGTCCCACGCTGGCCCTGCCTGCGCCCAGCCTCTCCCTGGACACCTCTTCCGCTCTGCCTGCCCTTCAGCCGGGCGGGCCCCTGGGGTCCCTTAACGCCGTGTGGTGATCTCAGCCTCTCTTGCTTCCTAACTCGCCTGTGTGTCTCCTGAGGGTGGGCCGTCCCTCTGATCAGCGTCCCGCACGCAGGAGGCCTAACGGCGGGTGTGGGCGAGGAGGTCCCGGCCAGGCGGGTGGACAGCCTCGGGTAGGCAGGCCCTGTGTGGGGGTCGGGGGGTCGATGCCCCAGAGCGGGGGGCGGGGGGACGGTGCTTGAGCACCAGCCGTGGACTCAGCTGCTCTGGTGGCATCTGTGGTTCCCACTGGGTCACGCATCTTGAAGGTGCCAGGGGACTTCTAACTCAGAGACCCTAAAAGCCCCTGGGCTCGGCATTGAGGGTGAGAGTCAACAGGTGTGATTCAGGCGGGGTATTTGAGGCTATGATCAGGAATCAAATGCAGGCATTTTTTTCCATAGAAAATCTAGAGATTCTCCTAGTACCTTTTCTTTCTTTCTTTTTGTTGTTAATTCTCACCTGAGGATATTTTTCCATTGATTTTTAGACAGAGTGGAGGGGAGGGAGGGAAATCTTGCCCTGGCCGGTTTGGCCCAGCGGTTAGAGCATCGGCCTGCGGTCCACAGAGACCCGGGTTCGGTTCCCGCTAAGGGCATGTACCTCGGTTGCAGTTTGTCCTTGGCCCTGGTTGGTCGTGCAGGTGGCAGCCACTCAATGTGTCCCTTTCACATCGATGTTTCTCTCTCTCTCTCTGTTCCTCTCTCTCCCTCCCACTCTATCTGAACAAAAAATGGAAAAATGTCCTCGGGTGAGGATATAAATAAATAAATAAATAAAATAAAATTAAGTCTTTGGATCTGAACATCTGATGTGGCCCCGTGGGCACCGCAGCATCTGGGAGGTAGTCGGTGACTCCCAGCGTTCTTCTCTCCAGTGACCGAGGGACAGTGTGTGTGTTCCCCTCACTTCAGGGTATGGCTGCAGCTGAGTTTTCAGGGAGGTCCAGTTCCAACCGTGGCCAGGGCGTGGGGACACGCCACGCGTCGCCCTGAGACTTAGAGAAAACCAGCGCCCGGGGCGTACACAGTCTGACCTGAGCACTGGTCCGCGGTGCTCGCTCAGGTCTGTCCCCGCCCACCTGCGCTTGGCCGTGGTTTCACGCCGGGGACTTTCTCAGACTCCCACAGGCAGACGTCCCCTGTAGCTAGAGGTTGCCGGTGTCCGGAAACGGCCAGCTTGAGACGCCCCTTGATGGTGTTGGAGCCTGTGGTCTGGGACACTCTCAGCTCAGACTCCTTCCCGCCCCGCCCTGCCCAGCCGCCCCGCTGCTCCCTGGCAATCACGGCCCCTTTGTTCCTCTGCAGAGTTGGATTACAGAAACTCCTATGAGATCGAATACATGGAGAAGATCGGCTCCTCCTTACCTGTAAGTTCCCTCCGCCCCCCGGGCGGCACCTGCCCCCCAGCCTTGCCTCTGTCTCGACAGCAGAGCTCGGCGTCCTCCGTGTGCAAGGCTCCCCGAAACTCAGACCTCTGCTTGGGGCCCTCTGCCCGCCGCTCCCTGGGTGGCGGGGAGGGGCGCGGGGGCTGGGTCCGAGGTGTGTGCTCAGTCCACCTGGCAGACAGCGGTTGGCCTTCCTGCAGCGTGACTTCCCCAGGCTGAGAAGGAACTGGGTGGAGCCACCCTTCACAAGAGGGGGAGCAACAGGGGTGTTTTCGAGGTGCACTGTTTTCTGTCCCCTTCACATCAGCTGCTCTATGCAACTGAAGGTTGCTGCTTCGAGCGAAGCCCCTGTTCCCCTTGCATTGTAGTTTAGTTCATTTTTATTTTTTAAATAATTTTCCTTTATTGATTTTAGAGAGAGGAAGGGAGAAAGGAAGGAAGAGGGAGAGAGACAGAAACATCGATGAGAGAGAACATGGACTGGCCGCCTCCTGCACGCCCCGCACTGGGGATCAGGCCCACAACCCGGGCATGTGCCCTGACCGGGAGTCGAACCAGCGACCTCTTGTGCATGGGTCGACCCTCAACCACTGAGCCACACTGGCCGGACACCCCTTGCATTTTAAGAGGGTATGATGGGCAGCTGTCTCCGAGGCTCCGAGCAGAGGCGTGGCCCGGCTGTCTCCTGGCAACGCCCTCGGAGGCGTGGCATCGCCAGGAGGTGCCTGGCCCACAGGTGCCGCCTTACCTGTCTTTCTCTGCGTTGTTGTGGACGCCGGACAGCTGCTTCTGACCGTGGTCTGCGTCGGTCCGCCACGATCGCGGGGCTCCCTGTGCTGGGGCCTCGTGCCCCTCCCCCATTCGACGGGGCAGTGGCCGCCTGGGCTCTCGCCTGCCCCTCGGTTTATCCTCAGTGGCCAGCACCATTGCTCACCCAGAGAGCGTGACCAGTGATGCCATGAGAGTCCTTCTCCCCTGGAAAATGTTCCCACTGTGCGCCTGTCCACCACCCTCTCCGAGCCGGCGCTGGCGTGGGCCTCTGCCCTGGGTGGCGTGTCCCCACCTGTGGCGGCTGACGTGTGACTCTGACCCCTACAGCAGGACGACGACGCCCCGAAGAAGCAGGCCTTGTACCTTGTGTTCGACACCTCTCAGGAGAGCCCGGTCAAGTCCCCGCCCGGCCGGATGTCGGAGCCCCTGCCGCCGTGTTCAGGGTACAGCCTTCCAGGACGGGAGGGTCACAGAGCAGGCCGGGCCCTGCCAGTCGGCACGCCGGCCCCCGCCCGTCGGCACGCCCGCACTGCTGTCCTGGCTCCGTCTCTTTTGCGAGCATGTGGGCAGCTGACGCTCCCATCTCTGCGTCCACACGGACGGAAATGCAGCGGACGTGTCCCTGCAGGACAAAGGCGGAACCCCCGGGCCGCGGAGTGCACCCCCGCGACTGCCCTGTGCGCCACAGCCTTGCTTGTCGCTTGTCCCGTGGGAGGGCAGCGACCGGGCGCGTTCATGTCCCGCTCCGACTCTTCCTGGCCCAGTGGCCTGAGGAAGTCTCAGCCCCAGGCTCCGGTGCCCTCGCGTGTGACACAATGACAGGCGACTACGGTGCCGCGTTGCATGTGTGACCTGCAGGCGGCCCCCGCTGACTGCACAGAGGTGCACTGTCTCCGGCTTACAGAGCAGGAGACGCGGGGCCGGGCACCTCCCCAGGGAGCAGGCCCGGCGGTGGGCCGTGTGCTCACCTCCGCAGCTCCTGCCTCCTAGCCTGACGCCTGTGCTCTGACCCTCCCCGGGCCGCCCAGCCCGACCCCTCGTCCTCGGACACATCCCTGGAGCCCGGCATCCCTTGGGTTGTGGACTGAGTGGGGCCTCCAGCCCGTGTCAGTGGGATCTCCGGTGAGAAAACTGAAGGAGCCCTTTGCCCCCTCAGGTCGAGTTTCGAGGAGACGGAAGCCCTCGTGAACGCCGGGGCAAAGCCCCCCCATCCGGCCGCACGCGGGCTGGCCCCCTCCCAGGAGGCACACTTGCCGGTGCCAGAGAAATCCGCCCAGAAAGAGCTGGAGGCCATGGCCCTGGGCACTGCCGCCGACGTGATGGAAATCGTAAGTGGGGTCACGGGCCCGGGATCACGGGGCCTCTCCCCAAGGGGCCAAGCTGCTGGGCAGTCCTAACCTGGCTCCGGGTGTGGGCCCCACCCATCCCCTGCACCACAGAAGACAGCCCAGGAGACCCCCCAAGGACGAAAGGCTGTTCCCAGCCTGGTTGGGGACTTGCCACCTACGAGCTTCATCTGCCTTCGGGTTACTGTCTCCCATGTTTGGCCCCTTAGGGCTGGACAGAGGCTTTGGGATGGTCACCAGTCGGCACCTGCAGAGCAGGGGGCACCCTCCTTGATGGGACAGTGACTTCCTGGCCCTCGGTGATGAGAACTCCCTCTGTCCATGGGCCGGACGTACAGCTCTCCCCTCGTGGCAAGTGGACCTGAGTGAAGGCCTCTCCCCACCCCAACCCCTGTACAGTGAAAAGGGACCATTTTTCTAGGTTGAATTTCATTTTTATTTGTTCTACGTCCCTTCTAGCAATCCCCAAGGGGGATGAGGCCGTTGATTTAGTTTGTTTTTTGTTCCAAAAGTAAGCATTTATCCCGTGCACTGAGTGCTTACTGACCCCTGCTGTGTGTCTGGCAGCCGGATGCTGGGAAAACAAGACCGAGCAAAAGGAAGTCCGGGGTGACCCCGACAATCTCCCACACGGTCGCCCTGCACAGTCCTACAAAGTTGGCTTCTGGTGTTGAAGTCCTTCTGATCTCGCAGGAGGTGGCTTTTCGTCTGAAACCATCTCCCCACCATTTAGAAAATGACCTTCACCAAAACCTTCCTTCCCTTGATCTTTTTACTGGGAGGTTGTGTTCTCGATGGGTTAGGTTATGTTTGGAAAACCCATCCCCTAGCTTGTCTCCTGTCCACTGAGATTTTCAAATAAATAAGCAGATGGTAACTTTCCGCCCACCGACAGGTCGGGGAGTGAGGGGGGTGGGGTGGGGCCGGGCCTCCACTCTCCAGGCACCCCCTTGTCAGCTGGTGGGGCTCATCGGGAGGAAGAGGACGGTGTCGGCCCCTGGCTGACGCTCTCTTTAGCCTTAGGGCAGAACGGTCCCGAGTTGGCGCGCGGTCGTGCTGGGAATCCATGTCACTCTGTCTCCTCTGTCTCTCCTCATCCCTGCGGCCCGCAGACGGCTCCCGAGGGCTCCTTTGCTTCTGCTGACGCCCTCCTCAGCAGGCTGGCCCATCCGGCCTCGCTCTGTGGTGCGCTTGACTATCTGGAACCCGACTTAGCAGAAAAGAACCCCCCCGTATTCGCTCAGAAACTGCAGGTTTGTAGTCCACGTGTGCCCTTCGGGGAATCTGTCAGAACCTCAGTAGAGCATGAACCCCTGAACCCCAAATGCCGGGAGGAAGGATTAGATGAAGTCGCTGAGTGTTGCCAACGAAACGTCCTCCCCTCGGACGCTGATGTGCGAGGTGCTCTTCGCCCGAGACGCCAGATGCCGTCCGTGCTGTGACTGTGGGTGGCATCGGCCGCTGTGTTTCAGGTGGGAGGTCGGGCCCAGTTGTTTTTTCAGAGACTCTGACGGACCCAACGGGGGGTCTGTGATTTGTTCACCAAGGGGATGAGCTCCCCGTGGAGCCAGACTGTTTGCATGTCTGGGGCCCTCAGACTCCACTGAGATAGCCTCTGGGCTCGGTCCCGCACCTGGAACCAAGGCGGCGACCCCTCTGTGCCGTAAACGTTCCGCTGCTAGCGGTGCCCGCTGGCCAGGCCTCGGGAGCAGACCGAGATCCCTAACAGTGGTTTGGGAGATCGCAGCCACGAAGGGACACTGTTAGCCAGCTGTCCGTTAAACGAACAAAAGGAAGGAAAGAAAGAGACGGCACAGTAAACATTTCGATTTTGTTCTAAAAGCCATTTCATAGTAGAATGCACAGTCCTTCCTGATAGATATTCCAAAGGGTGATTTAAGAAAAAAGGGAATTCAACAGTATTTCATGATCTGCTGAGGTGTTCGTGTGTCCGAGCTCCCATCCTGCCACCTTCCCGGGCACTTCCATTTCTCGCTGTGCGAACCCCACGTCTGTGTGGGTGCACTCCCCGCTCACGCCCACCCTCTGGCAGGAGGAGTTAGAATTTGCCGTCATGCGGATAGAAGCCCTGAAGCTGGCCAGGCAGATCGCCCTGGCGTCCCGCGGCCGCCAGGACCCCAAGGTACGGGTTTGCTGCTGCCGTGTCCACCTCTGAGAATGGTGTGTGGCCCGAACGCTTCTCTGCTAACCCTTGGCCAGGCCGGCCTTGTTGGTGTTCAGCGAAGTATAACTTTCCAAAAAGCTAAACGCGTAACTGCTGCGTACACGCGGACTGAGCACGTGGCTGAAACCGGAGTGGGGGAGCCCTGGGGCGCACGGGGCCGTGGACGCAAGCAGGAGAAACGACACCTAGCGCCTAGTCGGGGTGAGGAAGGCTCGAATGATCTCGCAAAGACAGAGGGCGAGCAGGACCCGCACACCATCGCCTTGGGGGGGTTTCGTTGTTTCCAAAATGTGCTTCCTAACCAAACAAAAGTAACTTGCAGCTTTTCTGTTTTCGACAAGTTAATATCTAACTGGGCTGAGACTGGACCCTAACCAGAAGTAACGACTAAGTGAAACCGAGATCTTCCTGAGCCGCCGACCCTTAGGCCGGGGTCAGAGGGTTGGAGGAGAGCAGTCTTCTGGGAAAGGCAGAGAATAAATATTCCAGGCATTATGGGCCCTCAGTTCTGCTCCCTTTGCCCAGAGGCAGCCACAGACACGATGCTGGTGAATGGGCCGTGTCCCAGTGACGCCCTTGGTACAGGGCAGCAGGCCCTTGTCCCGCACCCCTCAGGGTATCTTTGGCCTGGCTTCCGAGTTTGGGGGACTTTTTCTTAACAGTTTGAATGAGTTGCTGATGGCATGCGAAACAGTGTGTGGCCCGTGATGCTCTGCCTCCCCCCCGAGTCGGGCAGCCCAGGGAGCCTGCTGTGTGTTCTGTGGCCCCGAGGGTTTGGTGAACCTCTCTGAGCCTTGGTTTCCGCATCTGTGACGTGAGGCTGACAACAGCTTGCAGGTTGCCGTGGGGACCGCAGATGACGTGGGCAGCGGCCCTGTGCCTGTGCACAGCGGGTGTGCAGGACAGAATGGCGCGTTAGCTGACCTCACCTTCGCCTCTGCTTCCTGCCCAGACGCTCACGGCGTCTCCTCAGTAGGGGGGCCCTGGTCCCATGTGACAGGTGGGGAAACGGAGCCACGGAACCTGCCCGAGGCCTGACAGTGGTTCACTGGCCCGGCGGGACCTGGAGCTCGAATCTCCAGATGGAGCCCCTGGCCTGTCCGTCTGAAGTAACGGCTCCCTTGGCGAGGGGCTGGGGTTTCTCCCGTCCCTCGTCCTTGGCCAGGATCGGGGGTTCGTTGGCGGCTCCTGCCCTGAGCCCCTGTAGTGGTTTCCCTGGAGCTGGGGGCGAGGGGTGCAGAGACACCTCTGAGTGGACGGAGGTGGTCACACTGGTGTCCAGACTGAGTGTGTTGGGGCCCAGGGCAGGGGCAGGAATAGAAACGTGGATGGCTGTTCTCGTTCTTGCCGCCGACTGTGAACTGGGTCTGATCTCCATGAAAATGGAATCTCTAGAAAGCATGAAGCAGTGAGGATTTTCTCCCCATTAGACTCATTTTTTGACACCCTTGGGCGGCGTCTCAAAGGCAGAACAAATCGCTTCCAGTTTGGCCTCTGCAGAGACTGGGTGTTCCTGTCCTGAAGTTCGCGGCAGCACTGGGAGGGTCCCGAGCGTGCCTGGAACCGCCCCTTCCTCCAAGGCCACATCAGAGACGCCGGCCAGCAAATGTCGGCCAGCAGCCGACTTCCTGGCCGTCACGGCCCGTGCTCGGACCACGCGCCCCGGCTCGATTCAGTGTGCTGAGTGGGCGGGAGGGCCAGCCCAGCCACCTGCCCGAGAGTTCAGAAGGGCTTGTTGAGCGCGTCCGTGGGAGGGTGGCTCCGAGTGGCAGGGGCGTTTCTCCTGCTGCAGTAACTGGTACCGCCTCCGGAGGAAGCCTATGGCCGTGCCCTTGGCCGGGGAAAACCGGCCACGTCCTGCAGCCCACCGCCCACGGGGACCCTCGGCCTTACGGTGCTCTCGTGCCGGTGGGTTTCCGTTCGTGTTCCCCGTGGCCCCTGGCTACAGCGGGTTCGGCTGGCGTGGGGAGAGCACCCCGCCGTGGGCCCCACTGCTGCCTCGGCCTGAAGACTCCCACGGCAGGTGCCTCTCCCCGTCTCCACCTGTGGCTGACACAGAAGTGGAACCACTTGGGGTGAAGAAAATCACACTGAGGGGTGACCAGCGACTGAGATGGGGGTTGTGTCAGCCTTTGAGGGGCCACGGCGAGCCCCCTGCGTCTCGGAGAACATTAGCATTGAGAGCGCCTGTGGGTCGGGGTGTCCGGTGTGGGTCCCCATGCTTCTGGCCAAACTGTGTGGAGTGTCCCCGTGGGAGTGTGATCATGGGCACAGCCCATTACTGTCCCATAGGTGGCGGGCGGGGCCACAGTGGGCGGGCCTTCCTCACATCTGCCAGTCAGAGCCTGACAGCCGCCCACTGTCCGGTTCGGAAGGGGTGGCACTGGGCGAGGCCGCTGTCCTGCCCAGCCTGATGCCCTGCAACCAGAACACCCCAAGCAGCCAGCCTGTGTCCACATTCATGACCTTGGCCCAGCTTGCGTGGTCTCCCTGCCTGACTGCGGCTCCTGGTCCCCACCCTAGCGCGTGCCTCTCACACTGCCGTGCCCAGCCGGCTCCTGGGGGCACGTCCTCCGGGGGAGTGGCCACCGGAGGGCCGGGCGCCTGGGCAGCTGGCAGGGCCAGAGGACCCCAGGCCTGAGGTCGGATCTGACCGGGTGACAGTGCCCCCGGGACCAGGCTTTGAGGGCTGAGGGGCTGGAAGTCAGTTCCACAGGCTCATGCCCTGTGAGTCATGGACATTCGGCACTTTAGTCTGTGATTCTCGTGGGCGTTGGCCCCCCTGAGGGAGCGAGTGGAGGGTCACGAAGAGAAACAAAGCTTACTCCGCACCTGGCCCTGGAAGGGGAGGGACACAGGCCTGCTGACGTCAGCTGAAGGCGACAGCTCCGGGGTGTGGGAGCAGCGTGTGCCCCCGACCCTTGGCGGGCGGACGCGGCAGTCGCTCAGGTGGGGTTTCCGTCACTGCTCCGGTACTGGAAACACCGGCGGCCGAGACACAGTGATGCCACACACCAGATGGTCGCAGCCTGTGTGTTTACGCAGAAAGGTCATGATTTTACTTGTTTCTCATCCTCTCTTTCATTCTGCAGAAGACTTTAGGCAGCTCCAAGACCATTCATTCCTGCGTTGGTCATGTTGAGTTTCTGCCCAGTGTGACAAAATCAGTATTTTTAAATTTATTTTTAATCTTCGCCCAAGGATATTTTTCCATTTATCTTCAGATAGAGACAGACAGAAACATCAATGTGAGAGGGACACATCGACTGGTTGCCTCCCACATGACCCCAACCAGGGCTGGGGATGACCCGCAACTGAGGTACGTGCCCTTGGCCAGAATCAAACCCACGACTCTTTGGTCCGCGGACCAACGCTCTAAGCACTGAGCCAAACCGGCCGGGCAACAAAATTAATTTTAATTCATTTCTCTTGCACGTCAGAGAGCTGGTTTATTTGGGGTCAGAATTGAATCTCAGTCTGGGAAACCTTTGACAAATCTCTCAGCTCCCCAATTTTTTCCATCTTCGGAAGGACCAGGATGAGTTAGATGGTATCTCATGTTCTTTCCATTTTGAAATTGTATTTTGTTTTTCAAAGAACACATTATTTTACTTAAAAGTGACAGGAACAGTTTTCAGTCCTCTCCAGAATTTTGTGGTCGTGAACTTGACCCGTAAGCACAGAGTCTTGACGTCCGGGTGTACTTCCGCATTTATTTCCCGGGAAGTTTCTCTCTTGACAAGAAGAACCCCAACCACACTGTGTGGCGGCCCTTTCCTGAGCGGTCACTTCGTGTTCCAGCCAAGCGCCCTGTCCCAGGCTCCTCTGGGGCTGAGGCTGAGCCCGTGGCATCCCACGGGAGACACGAGCGTGTCCCCGGGTCTGGCGGGCCCGGGCCGTGAGCGCCCCTCTCTGAGCGGCAGGAGTCTGTGTGTGGGTCCCACACACTCGAGGCCAGGTAGGGGCAGTGAGAGCCGGCGGACGCTCCCCCGGGGCAGCCGGCACCGTGTTGTTCGTCACGCGTGTGTGCGGCTGACCGGTCCTCATGCGAGTCTCCAGTCCTGTCCATCAAGCCCCCCGGCCTTCCCCGCTGTCTCGCGGTCACTTCCCGGAGACGGGCAGGGTACGTGCGTGTACCTGTCCTTGGGACCGAGAGAGAAACTGCTTCAGCTGCAGCTCCTCCCGGTCACCGTGGGCTCTCGAACCTTCTCTGCGGGATGCGTGCTCACCCTTCTTTGTCCAGCTGCCCCTCTTCCCGCCACCGTGGTGGTCTGTCCACTGCCCGGTGTTTCTCGTGAAGTTCCCAAGGGAGAAGCAGCCCTCCCCCTCCCTGCCTGTCAGCCGCTCGTCACATCATGTGGGATTGGACCCGGCAGCCAGGGTGGAGGCGCCTTGGCGACCACAGCACCAGGAGGTTAACGAGAAGCACAGGCGGACGATTGGCGGGTGCTCCTTGCGTAGCAGAACTAGACGGACAGCCTGGCTGCGCTGGGGGACCCGCTCCTGACACCGCATCGTGCGCGTGTGGGAAACAGCTGGGCATTCGCATGGGGAGGAGGAGGAAGCACAGACCTCTGGGTCGCCAGCCTAGCGACTGTCATCCAAGGTCAAGCTCAGGTCAGCCGCAGGGGCGAGGAGTCACACTGCTTTCTGAGTGTCTGGATCCGCCAATGTGGATGTTGTCCGTGATCCAGTTTGCAGCTTTGCCGTTGACACGGCCGACGGAGGGCAGCAGGCCTCCAACCTGACGCTGACCCGCAGGCTCCCAGAAACCGGCTCCAGGCAGGAGGGCGGGCTGCCAGCCACGGCCGACCTCTCGCTGGGTGCACCTCTCCTTCCGAATGGAGCCAAACAAATGCCCCCCTCCCCCAGATTGAATTGTGGACAGTCTTGCAAAAAATGGTCAGATCTGCCGTTGTTCAAGACCAGGCGAGCAGGGACTGGGACCCAACATCGTTCACATGGGTTCTCACTTTGGAGGGGAGCCCGCGGGGCCCCGGCCCCGTTCTTAGGCCCTGTGCCTAAATGCCTCGGCGCCCGACTGACGGCTGTGACGGGCAGGCAGCAGACACGTGCCACCGAGGCCTGTGCAGGCGCCAAGGACAGATTCCACAGACCATCCGCCACCCCTTCATTCATCTTAGCGCTTTCTCATACGTTGGCTGTTCTCTGTTTCAAGCCCATACAACTGGCCCATTCGTGAGAGGTGACTGTAACCCCTTTGTCGTGTGATTGATGTTAACTTTTTTTTTTTAATCAAAAACCATTCCGCAGAGAGAAGCTGCTCACCCAGCAGATGTCTCCCTCTCCAAAGCAGCCCTGTACTCGCGCCTCGGGACCGCCGAGGTGGACAAGCCGGCGGGCCTTCTGTTCCAGCAGCCGGACCTGGACTCCGCCCTGCACATCGCCAGAGCAGAGGTACCGTGGGAGTGGGGGCAGGGCCAGTCCCGGCGCCCGCGGTCGGGCTCCTGTGTCTGCCACGTGGAAATGAGTCCCTACGCACCCATGTCCGTCTCTGGACACAGACCTTCTCTGGCCACTGCCGGCGGCACACGGCGCGGCTCGATCTGCTAGACACGATTGTTTCACAAGCCTTTCGGGTCTTGTTTGGTTCTCACGGAGAGCCCACCTTTTCGTTGCTCCGCGGTGGGCACCGAAGGCCTGATACCTGGCTTCCTCCGATCTCATGCTGCGGGAAATTCTCTGCCTTCAGTTATTATTTGACGCAGGAAATTTTAATTCCACGTGTGTCCTCCGTCTCCTTGTCTCGGTCTGTGAAGTGCGCGGCTCTGAGTTCCCTCATCAGGGCCAACCTTTCTCCTCTTCTCCGGTGCTAGATCATAACCAAGGAGAGGGAGGTCTCGGAGTGGAAGGATAAATACGAAGAGAGCCGGCGGGAAGTGATGGAGATGAGGTTAGTGTGATGCTCGGACGCCACAACCTGAGCGGGGTCTTCTGTACACGTGACCTGTTCTCCATGACCGAGGTTCACGTGTTCACAAAGGTGTTTTTGTTACTTTACTGTGATTAAGGGATCCCGTGCATGAGTTAAATACTGCAGTAATTATGTGGACAATAAAAAATCTCCCCCCTGCGGGCCTCCAGCTCCACACCCTCAGTACCCGCTGGACGCCGTTTCTGGCAGATTCGTCCACGAAGTTTCATTTCCAACAGCAAATGTGCACGTTGTCCAGGAGGCTCCTGTTCTTCAGCGGTGGAGCGTGGGGATCCACCACCCTTTTGTAACTCAGCGAATCTTGGACAGATTTCGATATGTCTCCACCTCATTGCTTAACTGTCGCTCATGGTCCTCCTACGGTCATAACGTAATCCCACTGGTGTCAGTGGGCAGAACGTTTGGGTTGTCTCCCAAATCTCACTAGGACTTGATTGATTGATTTTAATCCTCACCCGAGGATATTTTTCTGTTTATCATCAGACAGAGTGGGAGGGAGGGGGAGAGAGAGAGAGAGAGACATCGATGTGAGAGAGACACATCGACTGGTTGCCTCCCACATGACCCCATCCAGGGCCAGGGATGACCCACAACCAAGGTACGTGCCCTTGACCGGAATCGAACCCACAACTCTCTGGTCCGCGGGCTGATGCTCTAACCACTGAACCGAACCGGCCAGGGCACCACTTGGATGATTTATTTTCAGTTGCTGCACCTGTGAGAGACGTGTGCTAGCTACCGTCCAGTACGCGTGTTAATACCGTGTTAGTGGTGCCCGCTGCGGACCCAGCGCTGTGCTTTTGGCCTGAGACCCAAGGTCTCTGCCTCTGCCCCCGGCCCCCCAGAAGGGGTCGTCAGGTCTGCTCGACCGCAGAAGGCTCGGGAATTAGGTGACTCGCCCAAGGTCCTGGGCCTTCTAGGTAGAAGACCGTGAATATGAACTCACTTTTCCGAGTCCAGAACCCAAACTCTTTCTACTGTTCCCAGCGGCCTGGTCTCTCTTCTGATGCCCCTTTCTCTCCATTTCTCATCTTCTTGGAAACAAAGAAGCCACCTTTGGGGCTAGAACTCGTCCCTGGGATGCGTTTTTACAGCTATATTGCAGGTGGTATATTTAAAGCAGCTTCTGCCCAGCCCTTCGCTCTGACTGTGCCGGCTGAGCAGCCCCTGCCCCCCCCCCGCCTTCCTTCGCCCCCTGAGCTGGCAGAAGACCTGGCTGAATATCCACAGTAGCTTCGTTTTTGTCTCAAAGTTGGGAATAAGGGGATGGATGGATTTAAAAAAATTAGTTGAAGAATTAGCACATTTGTAGTGCACTTCATTGCAAAGGCAGGTGCTGATGTATTGTCAGAATCAACTGTGTTCCTGGCTCCCATAGTAAGTGGCAAGCAAACTATTTAATCTTATCCCGTTTCCTTTTTTAATCTTTTCATTGATTTTTTGGGGAGAGAGAGAGAGAAACATCGATCGGCTGCCTCCTGCACGCCCCCCACTGGGGATGGAGCCCACAACCGGAGCATGTGCCCTGACCGGGAATTGAACCAGGACCTCTCAGTCCACTGAACCACACTGGCCGGGCTTATGCCCCGTTTTCTAGGTCAAGCAGTGTCTTCGTACGCATTCTGTTAGTTCCGTCTTCCTGCGGCTGCTTTGGTGTCCGCTCCCGGGGGCCAGTCTCAGTTTCGCCCAGAACGAGGCCCTGCAGTCCTGTTCTTTCAAAATCTCTCTTCTCCCCAGCCGGTTTGGCTCAGCCGTTGGAGCGGCGGCTTACGGACCAGAGAGTCCCGGGCTCGGTTCCCGCTAGGGGCACGTACCAAAAACAAAATCTCCTCTTCGGCAGTTTTGTGGGCAGGGGCTGAGGCAGGGGACAGGGTGGGGCTGCACTAAAAATCCCCAGTGGTCTCCCTCAGACTCCTTCCCACAGGCTGACCTGGGAGGAGGAGCTTCTGCACTCCTGGGCCCTTCCACCAGGGGCAGCAGTGAGGCAGTCTCCCAAGCGAGGGATCTTAGTGCTTCTTTGTAGCCTCGGTGGCTCCTGGCGTTCTGAGAAGGGCTACTGTATCCTCTCCTGCCCCTCCCCCGCAAGCCCAGGGGAGCAGGAAATGGCCGGGCACCTCAGGAGCTGTGACACTGCTGAGACCGCCACTGTGAGACGTTGGAGCAAGATTCAGATAGAAGGCCATGGAGTTCCAAGGAGTCAGGGAAGGCTCTCCGGAAGAGAGCATTTGCGCTGGGCCTTGAGAAACAGACTGAGCGGCACGTGGAGGGGGAGCTTCCAAACAGGGCCGAGGGTGTGGGGTGAGAGCGCCCGGCACACAAGAGGCCTCTGCGGAGGGGGAGGGGACAGATGCGGGGGATGGGCCTCTGGAGGCAGAGCTTTGTCAGGCTGAAGGGCTGGCCTTGTTTTCTTCAGTGGGTAGTGAGGAGACTGGGAAGGTTTTGCAGGGAGGGTGTGACTGGAGTCACATGCGGGGAGAATGCACCGTGTGGGTGCACAAGGAGGCTGCGGGTGCCGGGAGCCCTCGGAGCCTGAGCCTGCAGGACAGAGAAGACGTGTCCCCCGCACAGGCTCCCGACCGACGTCAGGCTGTCGATGTCCAGAGCGCGGCCCCGCGGGAAATTTCAAGCTGTTCTTTGTCATGGTTCTGAGCCTGTTCATTTCTCTTACAGGAAGATAGTGGCCGAGTATGAGAAGACCATCGCTCAGATGATAGGTGGGTGTCCTGCCTGCCGGGGTGCGGGCCTGCCCTGAGGGTCCAAATCACGGGGTGGCTCCTCCCAGACACTCCCTAGAGCACGGGTCCGTGGGGGGGGGGGGGAGCTCAGGTACCCCTGGCGCTGTCCCAGGGCAGAGAGCTGGGCCCTCCTGGAGACGCCGCTAGAATGCCCCTCCGTTATTCATGCCTGTGGACACCACGGCAGCCACCTTGGTGGCCGTCGTGTGACCCAGCCAGGACCGCCCACCTCCTGAGGAAAGAGATTTGGGCTGGCTCCTGGAATGTTTGGGGGCTTTGGGCTCATGGGAGAGACTAGGAATCAAATCTCCAAACTATGGAGTAGTTTAGGCTCAAGTGACAAAATACCCCGCTCAACCTTACACGTGGCTGAGGACAGGATGGGGAGCTGTGCTCATCCCGGTGCCCACCCCCCCACTTCCCTTGTGAAGTGGCGGACCCCACGCTTTCGCGCGGGGCTTGGGCACAGCCTCAGAAGCCATGCCAACGCCGCGCCCTGGCAGCCGGTGCTGACAGATTGCTTCGGTCTGCGAGAGACCAGGCCTCGAGCCACGAGCTACACGCAGCTGGGCCTTTACAAAATTAATGAGCAGCAAGCTTGTGGATGTTCCAAGCCCAAGTTCTTGTACTAATGATCACTTTCCAAAAACGATATAACTCGAGGGGAATCGTTTGTTTATCTGTCTATGCTTTGGCTTAGGTCCACGATACCAGTTTTTAAAGAACCTTTTCCTGCCCAGCTGGTGTGGCTCTGGTTGAGCATCATCCAGGCACCAAGAGGTCGCTGCTTCAATTCCCAGTCGGGGCACATGCCCGGGTTACGGGCTTGATCACTAGTGGGGGGTGCAGGAGGCAGCTGATGGATGTTTCTCTCTCTCTCTCCCTGTCCCTTCCTCTCTCAAAATCAATAAAAACATTTTTTTTTAATGAAAAATCTTTTCCTCCTAAGAACATAGGAGGTAAAAACCCCAGCTCTCCACAGACCACAGTCTGTGTGTCCAAGCCGGACTCGGGGCTAGCAGACGAGCCTGTCCCTCAAACCTTTGCAGCGGTGGCACCCCACACCTCGACGCTCCCAGGGTGACCGAGGAGCCTGGGGGTGACCAGAGGCTGGCCGCCGAGTGCTTCCCTTCCAGGGGAGCTGGGATTTGTTACAGTCCAGGCCACTCGCCCAGAGCTCGCGGGGAAGCCCTGTGGGTGTTTCTAAGGATCAGCCTCGTGGCGTCTGCTTCCATCAGATGCAACCTCCTTATTGAACCGGGAGGGGTTTATGACTACGTACGGGTGAGATAAAAACAAAGCTCTTGGCACCGACGCCGCTGGCGAAAGTGGCCGGGCTGGAGGACTTACCTCTTCCCGCGCAGTGCTCCGGCGCCAGCCCAGCCTCCGGCCTCCCGCGGTAACGCCACGCAGGCCCACGGCGGTGCATCTGGAAAGTTCTCTGTGTCCCAGAGTCACACGTCTTTATTTTCATCCTTGGCGATGACGTTCCGGCCAAGGCTGGAATCGGGGTGGAAGGTCACAGCCTTTGCTGCTGGGAGAACTGCCTGGAGCCGTTTCGCTTGGTTGGAGATTTTTCTTTCTTTCTTTCTAGAGAGGAAGGGAAAAGGAGAGAGGGAAGCATCCACCGGCTGCCTCCGGCACGCTCCCTACTGGGGGTCGGGCCTGCCTGCAGCCGGGGCCTGTGCCCTGACCGGGAGTTGAACCAGCGACCTGGTGCAGGGACGACATACAGCCTGGCCACACCGCCAGGGCTTGGCTGGCGATTTTAATGCAAGCCGTTCCCTCTCGACCTGTCCTTGAGGTGACAGAGAGATCACTTAGCTCCGATGTTGCCTGGCAGCCAGTGGTGGGAGTGGGCAGAACAGCAGTGTGAGTTCTAGAGAGTCCGAGGAACGTCCGGAACCCTGACTCCAGGGACCATGGCCACTCGCTGCCCACCCCTGCCCCCCCCACCCCCCGCCCAGGAGCGCTGGTATGCTTGGCCGAAGGTTCCTCTCTTCCAGAGCTGTGAACTCACCCCTTTGGAGCATTTCACTTGTGGGGGTGCACAGGAGGCTCCGGGGACCGCTTCAGTGACCCTGGCCATGGCAGCATTCTCTCTGCAGGGGGGTCACACCTGGAGCCACCCCTCATTCCCCACCCTCCCCTTCACCATTCCCTTTCCAGAGCTGGTCTCCAGAAAGGTGGCCCACTGCCCTCGTCATCTCTCCGTCCCTGCTGCAGGTCATTGGTCAGTCACATAGATGCTGACGCCCTCATGTCCTTGTGGCAGGCCGAGGGCCGAGGGCCGAGTGTGCTTCCCTCTGGGCAGGCCACGAGTCTCCCCGTGCGGGAAGACACCCCCATCTGTCCCATCTGGGTTCCATCTTCTCACCTGACCAGCATCCTTGTTGAAGGGGAAACTGGTCCAGGGGGCTTGGCCGGTCGGGGCCAGAGTGAAGGTAGGAGCATCCTGAAGCTAAAACCAGGGTCTGCCCAGCTGTACTGGGCCTCCTGGCCCCGGCCTGGCCCTGCCCTGGTTCGCCTGTCACAGAGGGGGCACATCAGCGTGGCATCTGCCCTGCGGTCCCTGCCCCCTCCTCCGTGCCCCGAAGAGAGTGCTCTCAGCCCAGAGACCGAGCATTTAGTCCACAACAGGGAGAGACTTCTGTGCCTTGCCTTGCAGGTTGCTGCAGTCGGTTTTTGTTCTGCTTTCTAACAACTGCCCTGATTTCTCTGTTTTGCTTCCATTTTCTGTTGCTTTCTTGCCCTTTGCTTGCAAAACAAACAGGCAAACCTGGTAAGTACGTGCTTCTCACCCGACTGATACCTGCCCTTGTCTGTTCGTTTGCTTTCCTGTTTTTGTTACTTTTGCTTTTGTGTCCTGGCTGCGTTCCCCGCACCGTTTAATCATGTTTTGCCTGAAAGAGCCAGAACATCTCCAGGGACATCGCTCTGTTGTTGAACCTGGAACCCTCGTGTTTGGGGCCGATTCCCTGGTTTGGGGAACCCGACCGCATTTGTGACTGACGGAAAGATCTGTGGGGCGTCCGCCTCCTCCGTCTCCCTGGAGCTGGGACATCGTTTCCACCCGGGCGGTGACACGGGGAGGAAGGGAAACCAAGGCTCAGGTCCAGGGGACCGGGGGTGTTTGCTCAGTGGCTCCCGTACCAGCCCACGTGTCCTCACGCCGGCTGGAGCCCTGCGCAGGCGCTGAGGACCGAGGGAGCAGCTGGAACTCAGAGGAGGAAGCGCGTTGGCCACTGGCAAGACGGCGAAGCGCCCAGGTTGCTGGCGGTTCCGTTCTTGCTCACGCCAACCCCTGGCCCAGCGATGCTGTCGGCGGGCTATGGAAGTGGCTCCTGCTTTGTGTTAAAGGTTCTGTGTCCATGTCCACGTGCGACCTTCCCAAAGTGCCCCTGTTTCCGGGAAGGAGGCTGAGACAGCTCAGAGCCCCCCCAGGTCACACGGCTGGGAAGTGCCAGGGCCAGGACTGAGCCTCCTGGCCCTCAGACCCACGGGTTCCTCCCCGCAGCCCTCGGCGGGGGCTCTGGGGGCAGGGTCGGAGGGGACACAGGTGTCCGTCAGGCCCCGGTTCTCCAAGCTCCCTGGACCCGGGAACGTGCTGCAGAAGCAGATTCTTGGCCCCACCCCACCAGTGAGTCCGAGCCCATGGTGGGGCGGGGGCTGCACCAGCCTGTGTTCCAACAAACCCCATGGATTTGGACTTCCACTCACATGGGAGGACCCCTGATTTCGGGAATGAGACCCTAGGGCCCCGAGAGTCAGGACTTCTGAGCAAGTCTGTTAGGGCCAGAGCCGAAACCAGGGTGGGGCCCCGGTGCCATAGTCCTCTCCACAAAGCCAGCGTGCCTCACCTCGGGGTACGGCAGGATGTTGGGGATCTAGAGGAGGCGAACCCAAAGCAGCATCTCCCCACTTTTGAGGGAGATGCTTCCTTCTTGGCCTGTGACCCAGAGGCCTGTGCAGCAATGTGGGGAGCGACTCTGGGCTGGTCTGACTGCCGCCCCCACCCCCGTGGGCAGGTGACTTCGCTTCTCAGAGCCCACTCACCAGCTGTGCGGAGAGACGAGAAGCCTGCCCAGAGGTGACAGGGACGCGGTGGGTCGTCCTGAGCCAGGCCCTGTCCTAGCCTGGGGCAGAGCAGCGACAAGCAGCTCAGGACCTGCCCTGCGGTGTGTGCGTCCCGCGGAGAGGTCCTCGAACAGACGTGCGTGTGCACACATGCACGTGCGCACACACTTGCACACATGCACACACTTGCACGCGCACACATGCGCGCGCACGTGCACACACACACGTCTGGTGTGAGGAGGAGTGGCCACTGCTGGGAGGAGAATTTAGTACGAGAGTGGAAGGTGCCCCCCATGGGTGCTCAGGAAAGGCACCTTTGGGAGGTGACCTGGGGCCAGAGCTGAGGGAGCCAGGCCCTGGGAAGCTGGGGCCCATGGTCCCGGCAGAGGACAGGCAGCCCTGAGCCCTCATGGCTGGAGGCAGAGCACAGTGTTTGGGGAAGGAGTGGGGTTTTATTCCCAGGGCCGGGGAGGCTCCAGGGGCTCAGGAGTGAGGTGACCCGGTTTGGATTTCGGGGAGCCCAGTCTGGCCACTGGGTGCTGGTGTGGTTGTTAAACAGCGGACGGGGACAGTGCCGACATGTGGAAGGGCCCAGCACACACCGGTGGCCGTTTCCAGATGCCCGGCAGTGGGCCGCCCCTCCAGGTGACCTGGGCTCAGAGGGACAGGTGTCAGGGCTCCTTCCCCCAGGAGCTCCAAGCGGGGGCTTCTCTCTGCCCCTCGCCCACCGGGACCAGTGTGGGGTCAGCAGGAGAGAGCGCCGTGCGGGCAGGGTCAGGTGGCAGGTCAGAGGAGCCTTTCCCAGGGTGGTTTTCAGGTGTTCGGGCAGAGTCTGTTTGATGGCCCAGAGGCGTGGGCTGAGGACAGGGCCGTCTGTCTGGCCAGGCCCCGCCACTCTGAACGGGGCCAGATTTCAGTTCTTTGGTACGGGACTGAGAAACTCACTTTGACAGAAGTAGCCCCTGGGAGCCCTCGCTCCTCCCCAGTGACCGTCTCTCTATCTGGACAGCGCTCGGAAGGCCGCCCCACGGCCCGCACTGCAGGGCCTGGCAGTCTTGTCCCACAGAATTCAGCCGTTTGCTTCTCGCCTCTGGGTCTGTTTGCTGCCGACACCAGCAGAACCCCTGGGGGCTCCACTCTGGATGTTTACATTCAGGCCCGAGACCAGTGGCTGACACACACCCCATCTGACAGTGCAGGGGTCCCGGTCGGGTGCAGGGGCCGTGGGTTTGTCCTTAGGAGCCTGGGGGGGCTCAGGGACGGTCTCTGCCGAGTCTGAGATGCCCACGGGGCAGGCTCGGGCCGCGTGGCCCATGGTCTGGTGCTTGTCTCTCCTCCCAGAGGATGAACAGAGGGAGAAGTCGGTCTCCCACCAGACGGTCCAGCAGCTGGTCCTGGAGAAGGAGCAAGCCCTGGCCGACCTTAACTCCGTGGAAAAGTCCCTGGCTGATCTCTTCCGGAGGTACGAGAAGATGAAGGAGGTGCTGGAAGGCTTCCGCAAGGTGCGTGGCGCCCGGGACGCGGGGCCGGGAGGCAGACTGGCCGGCGGAGGCGGCACCCTCAGCCGAGGGCTCCCGGGGCTCCCAGCAGCCTCGGCGTTTCCTCTGCGCCCTGACCCCGTGCTCTGCCGCGTCAGAACGAAGAGGTGCTGAAGAAGTGCGCGCAGGAGTACCTGTCCCGAGTGAAGAAGGAGGAGCAGAGGTACCAGGCCCTGAAGGTGCACGCGGAGGAGAAGCTGGACAGGTAATGGCCGGGGCTGCCCCCCGCTGCCCGCCAGGGGCCTGGGGACGGTGTGCATTCTTTCCACGCCACTCCATGTGGCCGGGATCGGACGGTGCCCTGTTAGCCGCGCTGTGATAGTGCAGGATGTGTGTCATGGTTTCCAGGCACCCACGCAGAGCCCATGACCATGGGGTTCGGGAGGGGGTTCTCATCGGCACCCGTGCTGGGCCTTTGTTGGTGGGAGCTGGAAGCAGACAGTGCCCCTGCCCAGAGCTGGGAGGAAGAAGGCGGGAGACGTCCCCAGGGAAGGGTGATCCTTGCTCGATGCCCCCGTCCCCGCAGGGCCAATGCGGAGATTGCCCAGGTCCGGGGCAAAGCCCAGCAGGAGCAGGCTGCCTACCAGGCCAGCCTGCGGAAGGAGCAGCTGCGGGTGGACGCCCTGGAGAGGACGCTGGAACAGAAGGTACTGGGCAGGGTGGCTGCAGGCGGGCAGGGCTTGCACCACGGCGCTCGCAGGACGCACCCCTGCTGCGTGAGCAGGTCTCGGCTGTTCCCCTGGGAGAGCCTGCTTCCTGTCGCCCCGAGACCGGCCTCCCCGGCCTCCCCGGCCCCTCCTGGAATGGCCGTCAGCTTGGGTGTCGGCTGCTGTTTCCACCCCTTCTTGGCATCTGTTTGTCAAATAGCTCGGCACCCACACTGGGCCAGACACGGTGCTCAGCTGCTGCGTCCAGGGTGCCGGCTGGTGAGGAGGGTGCCCACCAGGCAGCCAGCAGGACAGGGGGGATGCAGAAAATGGGCCGTGTGCTTTTATCTTCACGGAGCGTGTGGAGGGACCTGCCTCAGCTTGTCCTCAGGTTCCCTGATTTCCAGTCTAGTGGTCATTCCACTGTGCACACTCTCCCTGGGTGTCCCAGTGAGGAGCCCCTTTGCCCAGGAGTGCCGTCTGGCCGAGTCTGGTGAGTGTGGGCCAGGGAGCCCCCACCCCCGTAGGTGTGTTTCCATATATGCGACCTGGTTCTGGTTGGTTTAGGAGCCTTAGGGCCCCCAGGATGGTGACCAGAGAGCCCGATGGCCTGAGTTGGCGTACTTCTCATGCATGAGGTCCTTGATGGGCAATCGTAGGAGTCATTTGTAGGCAGATGACATCCAGAGTCCATTTTGTCTCCCAGATGGGGTCCTCAGAGACATCTGGGCCAAGCAGTACTAATCTCTGCAGTGACAGGGACAACCTGTCCCTTAACCTCCGTGATGTCAGGAAAGAGCCCTGGGACTCAGGAGGCTGCGGGCCTCACCCCACCGCCGTCTGTTACAGCTCTGAGCGAGACTCCGTTTCTAGGTGTGTGACGCTGGAGGATGCAACCCGCAGGTCTGGAGCACTCTCTCGCCCTGAGAATCCTGTGCTCCAGTGACTGAAGGACTTTCCCTGGGGTCCAAGTCTCGCCGAGGCTCCGCCTCCAGCAGGCTGTGTGTCCCAGGACCCTGGTCATGCAGAACCAGACAGCTGGGAGCTCGTGTTGCCGGGTCGTTTTCATTCTTTAGCTGTTCCTCAAGGCACGAGACGGCAGGTGGCCGCCGGACGTTTAACACCGGAGAGCTGTCGCACAAAGCAAAGAGCCGGGGTCCATTGACCCACCTGTGTCCCAGGCTCTGGTCCTTGTTTTAGCCACAGACACCAGCAGTCTGGCCATAAGGGCCGAGGGCCAGCCCCCAATCACTGGAAATCACTGGCTCTTAGTGTTGAGTGGCTGTTTGATGTATTCGTTGAATGTCGAGCATCTACTTCTGGCCTATTCGGTGATTCTTGAAAAGTGGAATTTTAAAAAAATCGAAGACACATTCTCCAGGGACTTGGGTTTGAAGGCGGTTGGGTGTGAATCGGTGTTTCCCGCTGGGCAGTGCAGCCGTGCGGTCCTTCCTGCTCCGGGCAGGGCTGGCGGTGTCCAGGCGGCCGCAGGTCAGAGCAGTCGGTGAGTGGACGTGCAGCTGGACCTGGCGGGGTTCTCGCCGGAGCGGGCCGCTCTGGTTGCGGTGAGAGGGGCGGAGCTCCTGCCGTGCACAGGACGGCAGGACAGGAAAGACAGACGTGTGGGGACGGAACCTCGTCCCGAACGCAGGCTGGAGAGGACGGGGAATCGCACGAGTTCTTCCGGAAGGACTGAGGTGGTAGAGAGGGGACAGTCTCTGCTTTAGAAGGTTCGGAAGCCTGGTCCCCGGGCACTTCCCCAGTCGGTCCTTTGCAACCAGGAGCGGTGATGGGGCAGTGCACTCGGCGTCGGGCTGGCGGTGCCCTGACGGGTCGAGAACCCCGGACCCCGCAGCCAGGGGGTCTGCTCCTGCCTCAGCCGCTAGACGTCCTGCGTGTGTGATGAGTCAGTGGCAGAGCCGGGAGGAGCCAGCAGCCTGAATGTGCTCCCAGGCCCGCCACGCCACGTCTGCGCACGGTCTCCTCATGGAGAGTGGGTGCTGGTGGCCCCATCGAGGGACCACGGTGAGAACAGAGGCCACAGTGCCAGTGCATTTAGCATGGTGACTGGCACACGGCAAGAGCCCTGACGGGATGAAAAATCACCGTGAGCGGCCCAGGGGCGGAGGTGGTTAGGGCGGTCATTTCAGGCTCGGTGGCCAGTGCTGTGTCCCACGCAGAGCCTCAGAGGTCAGCTCCGGCAGGGGCTGTCTCCCGGCTGGGCGCCTGGCCACGGGACTGTCTCAGGGACTGTCGGGGACTGAATCTCCTCCACTAAGAAGGCCAGACTCTCGCTGGGCACCGGCACATTGCGGGGTGGTGAGGAGCCGACCTGGATACACGGACTGGGGGCTCTGGGCTGGAGCGTGGCTGAGGAGGCACCGGTGGCCAAGCAGGGCCTCGGCACAGCTGCAGGGACAGGCTTCCGGGGGAGCAGGGGGCGAAGCTGGCTGCTGAGTTCCCGGGCACCGGAAAGCGCTGGTCCCTGGAGAGGGCCTTTGGGACGGCTGTGGAGCCGGTCAGGTCAGGTTGGCGTCCAGCGGTCGAGAGCAAAGCCACCTGCCCAGGTGGAGGAGCCGCCCGGTCGGGTCCCGTTCTCAGAGGATGGACGGTGTTGTCTGATCATCGGTGTGACACGGAATTGGGGTTGGCTCCCTCACAGAGCTGCAGGGTCAGGCTAGGCCGGCGTGAGGAACTCCCCAGCCCCCTGTGTCGGCCCGCCCCTTTCCACGTCTCCCCTCTCTCCACACCCCCTCCACACCCCGCCACTCTCTCCAGGCCCCGCCTCTCCACGGTCCCCTCTCTTCAGGTCCCCCTGTCCATGGCCCCGCCCCTCTCCACCATCCCCCATCTTCCTATGGCCCTTCCCCTCCACACCCCCCTTTCCGTGGCCCCCCTCTCTCCACGTCCACACCCCTCTCCACAATCCCCCCCCTCCACGGCCCTCTCTCTCCAGGGCCCCTTGGGCACAGCTCTGCCTCTGGCATCTTCTGAGTAGCACCCGCAACCCCATTCATGTAGAATTGCTCAAAAAAGCCACGGACAGCTCACCCTGCACGTGTCCATACCCTCCAGAGGCGAATACAGGGAAGAAAACAAGACCAGATAGGTCTTTCCTGGCTGTGTCGCTGTGCTGGGACCTCCCCATTTCTGCCCTCACCTCATTCCCGGAGCCAGGTGTCCACATGTTAGAGAGAAGGAAGCCAGGGCTCAGAGAGGTTGTGCGATTTGCCCAAGGTCACACAGCTAGAGCTGGATGTAGGTAGATTATTTGGCTCCAAGTCATTTCTCAGGGGGACCAAGAGAAAGGACCCCATGCCCCCAAAACTCCAGCGACCATTCCGACTGGCTCACCTTCAGACAACCAGAGACGCGGTGACCTTTTTCCTTTTTCCTCTTCACCCGCAGAATAAAGAGATAGAAGAACTCACCAAGATTTGTGACGAGCTGATAGCCAAAATGGGGAAGAGCTAACTCGGAACCGCATGTTTGGACGTGACCGGTGCGTGCACTGTGGCCATCGGCACGCTGCTGTCCCTCCGGCCTCGTGGACAGGTTCCGTTTCCACTTGCCCGTATGCACTACTGTGTCCCTCTCTAAATACGTTGGTTTGATTGTATGCAGTGCTAAGGAGACTCTCGGAATTTCTTGCTATTGGTTTGCATTTTTCCTGGTCTGATTCATAGCAAGTTGACCTCAGAGTTCCTGTATCAGGGAGATGGTCTGATGCTCTAATAAAAGACACATCGCTCACCTTGGCCTGCCCTTTGTCCCCGAGTGCCCAGGGCGAGCGCTTTGGGGTTTCATAAACATGTACAGATCGCACAGGGATCTTGCCTTAAGGAGTGTACACTTGATCTGCATTTGCTGATTTGTTTTAAAAAAAGAAAAGAAAATGCATGTTTCGGATAAAATTCTCTATTGTAAATAAACTTTTTTTCCCTTTGGATCTTGGCAATACGCGTGGCTGTCATTTCTTTCCCGGGACAGGGGTTGAGTGTTCTCTCGCCTCTGTTCGTCCCTGTCAGATTCGGCCTCTCTCCTCTCTGTCTGGGCTTCTTTGTCCGCAGATTTCTGTAACATTTCTGTCGTTCGCGTGGCTGTGCTGGTGAGTAGAAACGAGTGAGAAGTGCTGACTTGCTACCTGAAGAACTGTGTGTGTATTGAATCAGCTTGGATGTTTGCTTTTACAACATCTCTGTGACGTCAGGGGCCCAAACACTTTCCCTCTCGCTCATGGGAGTAGCAGGCCGTCCCCCTGTCTGGTCCCTGTGCCTGCAGAGTAGCCCTGAGTGTCCATTCCCGTTAGAGGAGCAACCACTGGTGGGAGGCAGGGCATTGGGCCACTCGAGACTGGACTAAGCACACGTGCCCGCCACTGAGAGCCCTTCATTGCCCCTGACTTTCTCGGAGACCCCGAAAGGGTGGGTGTGTGAAGGACGCAGTTATCTTTATTTCCCAGAATTGTCATAAGTTGCCACAAACTTACCAGCTTCAAATGACATAAATGGATCCCTGCGCCCTTCTGGAGACCAGAGTCCAAGGTCAGGGTGAGGTGGCTCTGCGGGAGGGACGGCGCCTCTCCCAGCTCCTGGTGGGGGCCCTTGGGGTCCTGGCCTGTAGCTGCGTCCCTCGTCTCTGCCCCTCTCGTCATGGCCTTTCTCCTCTCGGTCTCGAATCGCTCTCCTTTCCCCAGTGAGGACGCCCATCACTGGGTTTAGGGCTCACCCCAAATCCGGGATGATCTCATCTCAAGAGTCTCAATTACATCTGTGAAGATCCTGTTTCCGAATAAGGTCATGCATTCATAGGTCACGGCTCTTAGGATGTGGATGTACCTTTTGGGGGACATAACGTGATGTGGGGTATAAGCTTGAAAAGACCCTGATCCTGATGGCCCTTAGCTAAATGCCCTTCCTCCTGCCCAGGCACAGGGTCTATGGTGCCCTCATGGGTGAGTTGTAAGTCTCTTTGGTGACTTACAAGGTGCGTGAAACTGTCCCAGGCAGCCCCGGGGAGAGAGACGCCAGTGTCCGGCCTGGACTCCGGGGCTCCATCAGGGAGAGCTGCCTGTCTGAGGAGGAAGCCCAGCCACTCCTGTCCCCATGACCCTCCCGGCAATGGGACGCTAGGCCGGGGCAGGGGCCTGCCGTGTCCCACCGCCCAGCCACCTCTGCCGAGTGCGGCCACCTGCACACACACACACCCCCCCCAGGTCCAGCCATAGCCCCTCCCCATGCTCCAGGCCAAACCCCTTCTCCACCCGCATCCCTGGTCTGACCTCGCCTTCGACCTCACGATGGCCCAGCTGCCATCTCTTGGAAGCTCATTTCCCTTGTTACTCAAGTAAATCATTTCCACTGCTCAAAGTCTGGAACTGCAGGCAAGAACATAAAAACCCACCCATAATCCCCAACCCGGGGGATGGTGACTGTCAAGGTATGTTTCTCTCACTATACTTTTCTTTTTTAAATCCTCACCCGAGGGTATGTTTTTTATTGATTTCAGAGGGGAAGACACTGATGTGAGAGAAACATCGATAGGTTGCCTCCCCTGCGCACCCGGACTGGGGCTCGAACCTGCTACTTAGATATGTGCCCTGACCCGGAATTGAACCCACAACCGTTTCTGGTGTAGGGGACGACACCCCAGCCACCTGAGCCACCCATGGGGGCTCTTTTGCTCTCCCTGTATCTTGACATATCAAATCTACCTGTTTCTCTGCAAAAGCAGCTGGGGTTCAGGGAGCCACACGGGCGGCCGTCTGTGGCCCTGCGCACGTGTTGTGAGCTGTTGTCAGCTGATACCACAGTGCGGCCATCGTGTCGTGGTGAACCTTCACCTGACATACAGCTCTTCATGTGTTTCCGTGGTACCGGCGTGGATTGAACCACCCGCCCGCTGGTGGGCGTTCGGACCGTGTCCCGTGTTTGTGGCCGTGCACGCATGCCGCAGTGAGCACCCTTGTGCATGTGTTTGTGGATCTGAGTCTTTGCTTAGGTAAGCCCCCAAGTGGGTAGCCTGGGTGAACAGTCACTGGCTTCAGCCAGGGGCCACCAGGGGCGCGGTTGGTGAACTGGCTGGGTTAAGGCTTGTTGCAGTGCGGAGGACAGCCACCAGGGGGAGCCGCGGGCGGCTTGAAAGGGGCGCTCTTGGGGGCGCAGCGAAGGGTTTGGACGGGGGTCAGGTGATCCTGGGAAGGGCTCTGCGGGATGCTGGCAGGGCAGGGAGCCGGTGCTCAGGTTGGTATCTCAGTCAGGCTCACCCAGAAGGGAGGAAGCCCCCACTAGGAGAGAAGCAATCTTTTCTTTCATACATCAGGACAGAGAGACATTCGGTCCTTTCTGTGACCTGGATAATGTGCGTGTTCTGCCAGCGTTCGGACATGATTACGGAGCGGGCCTGTTTTCTCTTGGCCCATCCCAGCGTGGTTGACGTGACACCAGTGTGCTGTGGATTTCTTGTGTTCAGTGGGCGGGTCAGGCCAGCTCCCAGAGGTCATGGCTGCCCCTCTCCACCTCCGAGGTTACATCCATTTTTAAAGTTTGCAAATAGTCTGGCCGGTGTGGCTCAGTGGCTGAGCGTCGACCCTGCAGCAAGAGGTCGCTGGTTCGACTCCTGGTCAGGGCACATGCCCAGGCTGTGGGCCTGATCCCCAGTGGGGGGCGTGCAGGAGGCGGCCAGTCCATGTTCTCTCTCACTGAAGTTTCTCTCTCTAAAATCAATAAAGGAAAAAACAACTTTATAAAGTTTGGCAAATAGTCTTCCATCGAGGTTGTACCAAAATATAACCGCACACACCCCTCTGGGGCCGAGATCTGGCCCCGTGGCCTCTGTCGCTGTCTGCCCGTCAGCCAGCCTGGCTCGCCTAGCGTAGGCCTGCAGTCTGGCCCCAGGCCCACCTGCCCGGACCCCGTGGGCCGACCCAGCGGCTTTTCCTCCTCGGCTCACTGGGTGCTGCACACGCTGCGTATGCTTCCCACATGGCGGCTGCTGAGGGCAGTTCAAGTGACTCCGCTTTGCTGAGTGAGTGTTCGGGACGCGAGAGGTCAGCCCCTGCCTGCCGCCCAGTGGCCCCCTGGAGCCACTTCATAACCCTGGGGCGGCTCCGTGTCTCAGGGACTTCGGTTTGCCACGTCCATTGAAATCTTGAGCTTCTAATGTCATTTTTTTTTTTCAGCTCAGCACTTCCTGGAGTCTCTCAGGTTACAGGTGGCTCTGTCCAGTTACCAGGACGACCTGTGAGGACAGAGGGGGCAGGGCGGGGAGGGAGGCGGCAAAGGGCCTCTGAGGGTACACGGTGCCCTGGGCCCTGGTTCTCTGAGCCAGGATCTGCAGAGCCAGCTTGGCCCTCAAATCACCAGCCCAGGGGCTCTTTCCCACAGGGGAGGTTCATGCTGTGTCCGGGGTCACGCGGCTAGTCAGCCCCAGAACAGTCAAGATGGGGTGCTTTTCAGGGTACCCGCTGCCTCCCCACGTGTGACTGGTCGGAGTGGCTGGATCAGGATATCGGTGAGCAGTGAGCACCTCGTCCCTGGAGCATTCAAGAGTAAGGCGGCTGTCCCACTGGGGTCCCGTGGCTGGCCCGGGAGATTTCTGGTTCCAGCTGAGAGCCCTGCTCCTCGGGGCTCGTGTCTGAGCCCCGAAGGCCGCTGATCCTGGGGCCCTGACTTGCTTGGCCCGGGGACCCGGGTTACTGCGCATCCCAGCAGCAGGGCTTGAGCAGAAGGTGCTGGGGCCACGTCCACTCACTGGTGTGTTGTCTTCCACTTTGGCTCGGAACTCAGTACCCAGAGCTGCGTGGCGGGGGCGGGGGTGTCCAGAAGACTCTGGGGTGAGTTGAAGGCCCCGGGTCCCTGAGCTCAGATCTTGCAGGGAGTGATGGACCCAGCCAAGGCCAGGCAGGGGTCCGCTTGGGGACAGCAGGGCCTGTGGCACTCTAGGCACTTCCCAGAGTGGCCACTAGAGGGCGCCCAGGGGCCTGCTCGAAGCCGTGCTCCCAATACCCCAGGGATCCCTGTGGGTCCAGGACCGCGCACTGAACCCTTCTCTGAAATCTCACACGGGGCCTCCATGCCAGGGGTGGGTTGCTGGGAGCAGCTCAGGCAGGGGAGAGAGCAACAAAGAGGGACGAATCTGTCCCTTTGTGCAAAGACGCCTGCTGAGATGTGAGGGTGACCACACACACGCACACACACGCACACACACGCACACGCAGTGCTCACCCAGAGCCCGAGGTGAGAAGGTCGGGACATCCAGTGTCCACGTGGAGACCCTGGTTGAGACTTCCTTGGGGCGCGGCTGGTGGTGGGCTCTGTGGGGACACAGGGTGGGTGAGCAACCACGGAGCACCCCCCAGTAACTGCCTACTCTGCAAAGCAGAGCACGGTGTCGGGAGAGTGGGCCCCAGATCTGAGGTGAGGGGGAGGTACATTCAGAGGTGCCTCCTATTCTAGATGCCTTAGCTGCTTTCCCCCTTCACTCGATCATCCACGCGGAGACCACGCGAGAAGACCCTGGGGGAGCTGCACCAACTCCGGGCTCCTATCACTGGAGCTGGGGTTGCGGTGAGCCCTGGGGTGGGGATCCAGACCTCGGTGCCGAGGCTCCCAGGTGTAATAGATGCGTGCACCCCACCCCGCCCCCTAGTCCGAGGCCCGGGCTTTGCAGCCTGTCACTGAGGACCCCCAAAAATTCCATCTTGGTCCTGGAATAAAGGCTCTTGGCCGTGTCCCCGACTTCCAGGCGGTTCTTGGTTCCCGGAGACACCAGATTAAACACCATCTACCAACCAACTGACTCACAGGCATCCCTTGCAATGATGTAAAACTATTTTTATGTAAATATTTTTATCAAACCAGTTCTGGACACTAGAGGTAGAAATGAGGCCCCAGAAGGCCAAGGCGGGGAGGGGCCTGGGAGCTACTGGTCCAGTCTTCTCAGAGGAGGACTGCGGACCAGGGGTAGATTCTGCCTGTGGCCGTTAGCGGGGATCTTCCAGGTCCCCCCGCGCTGTCAGGAAACTGCAATGACACCGCTCCCCGAGGAAGTGCGTGCGCCCCAAGTGGGCGGCACCCGGTGGCTGGTCTCTGAGATGCCCCCGCCGCAGCCCCCGCTGCTGAACCCAGGTCTAGAACAGGAAATGCTCGGAACCTCCCTTGTTGCCACGGTGCCCGCGACAGCCCCAGGAAACCAAAGGCCAGCTCCCCTGCCGCAGCACGTTGGCCCATTAAGGGAAGACGGGAGCCCTCGGTGTCATGAGCACGCGGAGGACTCAGCCTCAGGAGGCGCACAGCCCCCAGGGTCCTGTAGTTCGGGGACCAACGCATTGAGAGCACCTCCGTGTGACAAGCTCTTCCCATAACGCACGTGTGGTGGGCGAGGCCTTCGGAGCGGTGAGTCTGGCTGGTACCCCTCATCCATCCCTCATGACTGGCACTGCTTGGACCTGGCAGGGAGGGGCTTCGGGGGTTCCAGGCTGGGGGGCAGAGGGTCCAGTAAGGAGCAAATTCTGAGCTCAGCTCGCTTTGAGCCCCGCCCCTGGCTCCCGTCCCTGAAGGGTGGGGAACTGTGGGTGAGCCTGTTCTGCTCCGTCCCAGACGCTGTCCCAGGGCCTTGGCAGAGTCATCAGTCCGCGAAGGCACTTTAAAAATTAGAGGTTCTCTTGATTTGATTAATAGCCCACACTCGAGGCTTTACTCATTGTTACTTTTGTGGCGAATTGTAGATTCTTTCATTGTTGTTAATCCTCACCCAAGGATATCCTTTCCATTGATTTTAGAGAGTGGAAGGGAGGGAGGAGAGAGAGAGAGAAACATCGATGTGAGAGAGACACACTGACTGGCTGCCTCCCTCATGACCCCGATCGGGGCCGGGGATTGAACCCACAACCCAGGTACATGCCCTTGACCTGAAATCGAACCCATGACCCTCCGAGGCATAGGCCGACGCTCTAACCACGGAGCCACACCGGCCAGAGCAAAAGATGGTTCTTTGGGCCAGTTTCCTCGGTAACAACTAAGAGGCCCCTTGGAAACGTAAACACGTGACCTTCGCCTGTCTTGTCTTCCAGGGGCTTCGCCCCCCAGCCCTCCCCTGTGCAGCCCCACTGCCCTTCACGACAATGTTGAACCAGGTAAGTCCACCAGCTGGCCCTGGGGCAGACGCGCAGAGGAGCCGAGCACCCTTACGGCTGTAGCTCCGAGTTTCCACAAGGGGGCAGTCCTGTGCCGTGGGACCGCGAGCTTTGCGGGCTCACTGCCGGGAGGAGGGTGTCAGAGGGCCGGCGTCTGAGCGACATCATCACCTCTCACACTGCATCCAGGTGCAGACTCCACGGCCCTCACCCCCCACCACATCCCAGGTTCTCTACCAGGTTCCCAAACTGCACTTTATTTTATCGTCTTCGCTCAGCACCTGCACCACCACCAGCAGCATCCTCCTCACCTGCGCCCTCCTTGTCATCATTCCCTCTTACCAGGAGGCTCAGGGTTAATGACTCGCTCAAGGTCACACAGCTAGTTAGTGGCAACAACAAGACCTGAACTCAGATCCTCCGTTTCATAGCACGTGTACCCCTGCACCCCCACCCCCCATCCCGTGCTGCTGGCACCTGGCTTAGGAGCAATGCACCGTTCCTGAGGGCCCCTCGGGGTGCACTTTTCCTGGCTAGGTCCCCTTGGGCCCCCACGGCTGACTCCACACTGCGTATTCTGCTCCCTAAAGGAAATTACAGGGGGGTTTCCCAAGTGCACGTCCCGCCAGGGCCCAGCTGTTCATTCCTGGGCGTGAACACGGAACCTGAGGGCAGGAATTAACCCGCATGCCCAGAGCGGCCCCACTCACAACAGCCGGAAGGTGGGACAAGCCCGCCCGCCCTGGCGAACGGCAGGAAACGTGGTCTGTCCACACGCTGGACTATCACTCAGCCTCAGGAAGGGATGACATTTGATGCATGCTGCCACGCAGATGAAACTTGAACACGTGAAGCCCTACACGGAAGCCCACACGCTACGTTTATATGAAACATCCAGACCCGCAGGTCCGCAGGGGCGGAACGCAGATCGGGGGTCGCCAGGAGCTGGGGTCAGGGGTGGGGGGAGATAAGGTTCCTTGTGGGGCAGTGAAGTGTTCTGAACGAGATGGCGGTGGTTGTGATGCACTAAGTGGATAAAGTGGTGAAGTTTATCTTTTGTGTATTTTACCACAATTAAAAGCACAGTCTCTAGCCAGGGTCCCCTCCACTGGGCATGTCTCCAAATCACGTTAGGTAAGGACTCACCAGTGTCCTGAGGCACAGTCCTGGTCCCCTCCCTGACGAGTCCCTCGGGCACCTCCCATCCGAACTTCCAAAGGACTTGGGGACCCAGTCATCTGCCCCCCGAATAGATCTGCCCCGAGGAGGTGGCCCAGGGACATGTTGGCCGTGTTTGAAAACGAACCAGCACGTGAAATCTGTCTTGGTGGTTTTCCTGCTGAACTGTGTGGAAGGCCTGGCATTTATGGAGGTTACGAAAAGACTTTCTTCTCTTCTTTGCCTCCCAAGAAGCCCCGAGCTCGCCTGGAACGCCAGACCGTTGGCTCCACCAACCGGTGGCGTTTCCCCAGAGAGCCCTTCTCCAGGGACCTGCTGGCCCTCTCCCAGATGTGCAAGGCGATGAGCTTAGACTTGGATGACGCCACGCTGAAGGACCCAGACAGGTGGGCAGCGAGGCCCGTGGAGGGTCTCACGGATGACCCGCGATTCTGGGCAGGGCCCGTGGCTGGGCCACTCCTGTTGCGGACGGGCTGCCCTGGGGCACATTTGCAAGGCAGGTTGCCTTGGGGACCAGTCCTTAGGGAGGGCCAGGGCCAGGGTGCCCCTTTCCTCCGGGAATGCCTGCAGCCGCGCGAGGGGAGAGAGAGACTGGCCGCTTGTTTCTAGCTTCCCCTTTGCATGGGGAAATTGGGACCCTACCAGGGTTGTTGAGCGTTGATCAACTCGTTTGTTGAACAGAACTTAGCTAGGCCTGGCTCTGAGTGTGAAAGGCAAGAATCTGAATTCCCACCCAGTCGACCGGCTTCCCGTGGGGAGCTGGCCCCGCCCTCACTCCCAGGAAGTCTGAGCAGCTGGGCTTGGGCATCCCCTCTTCCTGCCGCAGTTCTTTGTGCCTCTCCCGGGGACACAGGGCTGCACCCTGTTGCAGAAGGACACTCTGCTTCCCTGGTGCTTTAGACCTGACTGGCCCACTGCCTTCCCTGGGCACGAGCCTCGGCTCTCTAGCCCAAGGCTGATCTCCCTGCACGTGGCCGGTGCCCCCTCCGTGTTTGCTTAGCAAGTAGTCAGATCTTCCCTTTCCAGACCCACTGGCCAGTCCTGCGGCAACTCCCCCACCCACAGGTGGCTCTTACCACGTTGGGATAAACCAACATCCACCTGCGTTTGGGGCTGACCTTCTCTGATGAGTCCAGCTTAGAAAAACAGAGGCCTGCGAGTTGCTGGTTTTGCCTTGGCTGTGAATAGCCTGAAGTGATCTTGAATTTATTTTGCATTTTGTTTGCTGAGAGCCTCGAAGATGTCTTAGGGTTTTGCCAAAGCTCATGGTGTTCCTTAGCGCCGGGACCAGGCTGGAAAAGCAGGCCAGGTCCTGAGCCTGGGATGTAGGCACACCATCCAGAAATCCGGGGCGGGCTGGGCAGCAGGAGCGGAGGTCTGGGGACTTCGCTTACAGAATCCCTGAGCTAGGCTGGGGGATGGGGTGGCCTGCGGGGCGGGGCCAGAAACCTGAGGACGCAGCTGGGGGCTGGCGCTGTGCTGCGCCTGTTGAAATGGGTCTGTCAGCAGGGTTAGAAGTCCTTCTTCTCCGCTTACTAGCTCTGTGACCTTGAGCCAGTAGCTTACCCTCTCTGGGCCTCAGTTTCACTATCTGTGAAGTGGTGACAATAGCGTTTCTCTGGAATAGTCATCGCGAGGGTTAAATTAGACAGTACATTGAAAATACTTACCCTGTTTCAGGCGAACAGCAGATGCTCCATAGATGGAGCTGTTCTTTTTCAGGCACGAGCAGTAGTTTTAGTTTTTGGTCCCGGCGACTTCACCCTGGGGTGTGTCGGCCAACACCCCACATCTCACTTTGCCTCTTAGCACCGTCCCCAGATGGAAGCACCTGGTCCGAGGCACCGCAGACCTGCCTGTCTGCCCGGTGGTGCCGGGAGGCTGTGCCCAGCGCGCTCTGTGCCGGCCCATCACCGGGGGGTCTGGCTCACCAGCCTCTCCCGTCCTCCTGAGGCAGGGGGCTGGCCTGGGCACGCTCTTGTCCCGGTGATGCAGAGGGCAAGGGGGTGTGACCCCTGCGCAAGTGTTTTTCAAACCTCCAGCCACATCACGCCCCTAACACCCCGTTGGCCAAGGCAAGTCACAGGGGCAAACTCAATGTCAAGGGTCAGGAAGTCAGAGTGGAGCTTTGAGTCTCCGGCCTGCAGCCCTTTGGAGGGTTTGCTGTGGGAAGTCCACATGTCCATGCGAAATGTGAGAATGTCCCCCTCCCCCGGTCTGTCCACCGTGGGCGAGACGGAGCCCGGCCTCACAGCCCAGCCCGCATCCCAGCGCCCGTGGTCCCAAGCCACCGTCTCGGGCAGAGGGGCGACCCCAGCGCCCTCCGCCGCTGAGTCCCGCGGGCCCTGAGATGAACCCGGTGGGAGACGGCGGAGCCTGGGTGAGAAAGGGCACACCTGGGCACGCAGCCCTGGCACCAGGCAAAGTCATTACCCCGCTGTCTGGCGTCTCCCCGCTCAGCCGATGACAGTGATGTTTGTGAGGGCAGCTGAGCTCATGGGCATCGCCCGTAATTTCCGAAATCCACTGCTCCATTTTGAGATCACGGCCTGAACTCCTGACCTCGGCCAGCTCTTCCCAGACGTGTGACCCAGGCCAGCGAGGGGACAGGCGGGCTCGGGCCACCCCGGCTCCTGCTGGGTAAACAGCCGAGGCTGAGTCACTGCGGCCACCTCTCGGCTTGGGGAGACCAGCACGTGTCCGCTCTTCCTTGGACACAGGTCCCCGCCGCCGGGCCCTCCTCCGGGCCCCGGCCCACGCGGCTCCCGGGTCAGCACTGCGGGGTGACACTGACCAGAGGGGCCAGGAGGTGTCCCGTGGCTGCTTGGCTTTCCTCGGACGACTGTGACTCACGCTTTGTTTCATTTCCTTTCCCGGTGGGCTGATCATGGTGTTTATGGGAAATCATCTCATACTTGCAAACCATTTGCTCACTGAGGGGTGCGCACTGAGAACGGGGGTGAGGGCCTGCTCGGGGCAGCAGGGGACACACACCCCGGCGGCCTGTGTGGTGCAGAGCCTGGTGTAGAGGCTGCATGAGGGGGAAGGGCACCCAAGACACCAAGGAGGGAGTGTGCCTGGGGTCCTGCCAGGGTGGCTGCAGGGTCATGCAGGGTGGGCTGCAAGAGAGCCATGAGACCAGCCTCCCCAGAGAAAGCAACAACTCGGCTTGTCTGGAGGGAGCAGAGGGGGGTGTCGGGGCAAAGGGGGCAGGAGAGCCTGGGCAGAGGGGGCAGAGGGAGCAGAGGGGGCAGAGGGGGCAGAGGGGGCAGGAGAGCCCAGGCAGAGGGGGCAGAGGGGGCAGGAGAGTCCGGGCAGAGGGGGCAGAGGGGGCAGAGGGGGCAGGAGAGCCTGAGCAGAGGGGGCAGAGGGGGCAGAGGGGGCAGAGGGGGCAGGAGAGCCTGGGCAGAGGGGACAGAGGGGGCAGGAGAGCGCCCAGGAGAAGGGAAGCGGAGACCTGGGTCAGGCCACTGGGTGTGGAGGGCGGAGGCCACAGGACAGTGGACACTCCTCAGCCATGCAAAGGGCACTGGGAGGACAGGGGCTCAGCAGGAAAACCAGGTCTGCATCCCGGGCGGGCTGGCTGCAGTGCGGGGTGGCATCCGAGGGGCAGGCTGGAGGCTGCAGACCCGCAGTGGTGCCCGGGAGGGGCCGGTGGCTTGGGTGAGGTCATAGCAACGAGGGCGAGGCCACACCATCACATCTCGGCCCGTGGGCCGATGTGCCAGCGCAGTCTGCCGGCCGGGGCAGCAGGAGCCACTTCCTGAAACAGGAGACCCTGGCGAAGGAGCGGGGTTGGGTTCGAGCGGATTCCAAGTTCAGTGTTCGGACACATGGGGACGGGGAGCGCACAGCCCCTCAACAGACGTATTCGTGAGTTAGCTTCCGAGGAATGAAGCACTTTCTCTCCCCTGTGCTAACATGCTCGTTGAGCGCCTACTCTGTGCTAGATGTTGTTCTAGAGAGCTCGTCAGAGGAGGTGTCACTGGGTGCCGCTCGCAGCTCTGAGCACCCCTTGCGAAGGCCCACCCACAAACCAAAAGTGGGGTTCTGTTCCATCGAGCCATCCGGCAGCCCTCACGGCTGAGCAGACCAGCGGACAGACGGGCGCCGAGGATGCCCTCCCGAAGGGCGCGAAGTGGGCACACGGGGAACGGGGGCCAGGGGGGGCGTTGACTGACAGTGACACATGGAGCCGGAGACAAACATCCGTGGTAACCCCTGGAACTTGTCTGCCCTTTCCCCCGAGGTTACGCATCCGGAAAATTCAGAGGAGCTTCTCTGAGAGTTTGAGGAGCATCCAGAGCCAAGACGCAGGTACGTTCTTGGCTCCGGTGGGTTCGGTCAGCGCGTCGCTGCCCTCGGGGCCCCTGGTCTCCGAGGAAGGAAGCCGGAGGGGAGTCACGTCACTGGTCTGTCCGTGTCCGCTCCGCACGGAGTCGAACGCGTAACAGGTGCCCATGGATATTTGTCAAACGCACGATGAAGGGGACCGAGCTGGGCGGACATTCCCACAGGCCGACGGCCACAGTGCCGATGGAGTCGCAGACGCCGTGAACACGGGTATCTGCTTTCTGTCCCTTCCCCCAGCACATGACGGTGACATCACCTCTGCACTGTGCAAAGGCCTTTCCTGAGGGACAGTCAAGCCCCAGAGGGGGCTTGTCCATCTGGGGAAGGCTGTCAAGCCTCTGGGAACCTGGACGGGTCAGCTCCTTAAAGGGCGCTTTCGGATCAAGCCCGCCCCACGGTGTGGCCGCCCGGGGTCAGAGCCAGCCTCCGCCCAGGAGGGGCTAATCGAGTCGTCCTGCTTGTCGACTCTGGTTCACGGGGGGCCTGAGAAGCCGTCTGAGGCTCAGTGATGTCCCCACACACCCGCCACCCAGGGAGGGACACACTTGATCTGCACCTCTGCCTAGGATCGCCCCAGTGGGGTGGGATTCTTTCTAACCGTCACCTGAAGCGATCCAAGATTCCAGATGCGAGCCCAGGTTCTGAACCCTGGCACCCACTAGCCTAGATCTGGTGAAGAGCGCTAATCAGTAGGTGAACCAGGGTCATGCCGTCAGAACCAGGGCAAGGCCCAGAAATAGGTAGCTGGGGCCAGTGGCTGCCGAGATCCTGCCTGGAGCAGAGATCTGGGCTCCGGGGCACCGCCCGAGCACCACCCTCCCCAGCCCTGTGCTAACAGGGCACCGCCCGAGCACCACCCTCCCAGCCCTGTGCTAACAGGTCCGTCTGCAGAGCCGCCCTCGCCCCAGGGCTCACATGTCCCCCCCGCATCCTTGGCCCCTCCATCGGCCCCCCCGAAGTCTCTCCTCTTGATCGTCGTTCTGTCCAGGGGTGCACCCCACACACAAAGACCTTTACAGTCTGCGAAGAGCTGCTGCCCACAGCTCTCGCCTCAGACCTGTGAACGGCCTTCTGAAGGTGCGGGTCCCTCGAGGGGAGCGGGGCCCCAGAGCGCTGCTGCCTGGTGGGGATGGGCCTTCTCCGGGATGCGGGCACCAGTAGCCGGGTGTCGTCCGCAGGGACTGGGCACTGACTCTGCTCGCCCAGGGGCACGTGGCAATTTCTGGAGACATTTTGGGCTGGCACCCCACTGCACCCAGCGGCGGGTGCAGTCCAGGGACACTGTCCTTCGGTGTTGAGGACAGCCCCCACCCCGGAATTATCTGGCCCCACAGGTGAACAGAGCCCAGGCCGAGGAACAGTCCTGGGGGACAGCAAGGGGAGGCCCCGAGGGTCCCAGCAGCTTCCCTGCCCACAAAGCCTTCCCCATCCCAGGGCAGCCTCTGGGTCCTGCAGGTCGGCCCCTCATGAACGGTCACAGCTTCCTGGCCGCCCCCACAGCCCCCAGTCACCCCTCGCCAGGCTCCTGCGGCCGAGGGAGGCCGTGGCTGAGCGGAGGAGCCGTGGGAGGCTCGGGCACCTCTCCGGGGGGCACGGGGCGCTCACCAGCTTTCTCCTTGCAGTAGTGACCCTCCAGTGCCTGGGCTTCGCGTGGGAGCTGCACCTGCCGCAGCTGTTTCAGTCCGAGACCTTGACCAGGCTGTACGTCACGGCGCTGGACGGGCGCACCGCGGACCCCGGGAAGGGCCTGGACAGGCTCCTGCCAGGTACGTCCTCACCCGGCAGGGAGCCCCGCGCCCTGCTCTGAGGGCCCAGCTCGGCGATGGGGCTCTGGGACCACGGCCCGTGGCGGGACCTCGGCGCGGCTTTGAACCTCCACTTGCCTGAAATGGGGCGAGCGCTCATACTGCGTCTCCTTGAGGACTGGGGTGCGGGACTGTCCCAGAACAGCGCCGGTGGGCAGAGAGTGCTCAGCGAGGCCGGTCTCACCTCGGAGTGACCGCTCCCGCCCCGCCTGCTGAGGCGGAGACCCTGGGGGCTTCGGGAAGGAGGCATCAGTCCGGACTCGGGGTGTCTGGCCTGACCACTGTGGAGAGAGGGTCACATGTGTAGATGGTTTATTTTTCCTTCCTCTTTTCTCACCTCCACCTCGTCCGCGTCACTTCTTTCTGTCTCTCCCTTTGGTCCTGACTATCCCGTCTCCCCTCGGCACCCTCGCCACCTTCCTCTCCGGGAACGGCGATGGCGCCACCTAGGCCGCCTCATCCGCAGAGCAGGTGCCGAGGGAGAGGCCCGGCCGGCCGGGGGCTCGCGTTCCTGGGGCGGGGCAGCGAAGCCGGGCTGTTCTGCAGTCAGATGGGCAGCTGGAGCCCCAGCCGCTGCCCTGCCCAGGCCTGGAGAGGGCCCGGCTGCCCGCACCCTCCTGCCTGTGACTCAGCCCCTCCTAGCGCGGGGCTGAGCGGGCTGCGTGGCCCCTTTCGCTCACGCGTGGTCCAGTTTGCTCTTCTGAGCCCCTATCCCAGAGTCCTCAGAGCGGACTGGGCCCTCGCCAGGCAGCCGATGAGAAACTGTGGAGCCCAGGCGGCGAGCACTCAAGAGCAGGAGACTTTGGGGGGAACGGGGTTATTAACGCCATGGTCTCAACAACACAAGGTTTGGCCCTGACCGCCCCCTGCTAGCGGCTGGGCCTGACGGGGACGCTGGGGGAGGCTCAGCGATGAACCCCAGCGGCAGGACTTGCCAGGGTCTCCCCAGCACCAGCCACTGCGCCAGGCCCCAGCACTGGTGTGTCCACAATGCTCAGGGGGTGTCGTCATGGCCTTGGCCGTTGAGCTGCTGAGCGGAGGTGCCCCGAGGCTTGTGACCCAGCCAGGAGGGCCCTGTGGAGACGCAGCCCCGCAAACGTCCCCCCCGAGGGTCCAGGCTCCGAGGTGGCACAGCCGGGCGTGTTTATCCTCCAGGGGGACGTCCCTTAAGGAAACAGCCCTCTCTACTAACAGCACCATCCCGGTCTCTGAGCAGCTCAGAAACGCACGTCGAATGGCCACTTCCATCAGATTTGAAGTTTTACTTCAAACGGAGGGGACGTTGAACTTGGGTCTTCCTCTTACGCCGACCTGCCTGCTGCCAAACCTCCCCTCCTCCCGCCAACGCTGGTGCCTGCCCTGTGCCAGGCACCACACTCGGAGCTCAGCCGCCCCGTGACGGTGAGCGTGACAACTGGCACGAGGCGGGGTGGTCCAGCCACGCCCTGGGGCGCCCACGGGGTGTCAGGACGCAGCACAGTGGCTCCTTTACTGCCCCGACGGGGGAGGGGGAACGGAGCGTGAGGACGGAGGCCGAGCAGCACCCCGGAGAGGCGGTGGCCCAGAGCCGGGCGAGGCTGGCACTGAGTGGGTCCTCCAGCAGTGTTTGCGGGGAGCGCGTGCCGGGAACGTGGCGCAGGAAGGCGCGGGGGTCTTGCCGCCCGAGGAGACAGCTTTGTTCTGTGTCTTCTTCTACAGTCTCTGTAGCTGCAAAGTGTGACCTACTCTTTGGCCTCCTGACTCATTGCCTGGAACCTTGAGTTCCCCGGGCGTGGGATGTTGTGCATGGAGCCCCTTCGTTCCATTCTTTCCGCGGGTGTTTACGGGGCACCTGTGTGCAAGGCTGTGCCAGGCCTCAGGGCCAGAGTAGCGAGCAGCCTGCCCAGCGCGCGTGGCTAACAGGCAACCCGGCGACAGGCGGGGGGAGAGCAGGTGGCGGTCGTAGCTGGTCCAGGAGGGAAACGCAAGCCCGCCCGGAGGAAGGCAGGTGGGGTGCTACCAACATGTGGGGTCAGGCGGGCCCCTGGGGGGGCACCTCTGTCGTGGAGAACACCGCCAGGAGGCAGGCGTGTGGCCCAGTGAGCGGGGGACCTGTGGGAGGTCTCCGGGCCAGAGCGGAGGCCTAGGCTCAGTGCCACTGGTGTGGGCCACCGAGACCCGAGCGCAGCGTCTGTGGTCACTCGCATTGTAGAACGACCTGAGTGTGGGGGAGGCTGGCGGAGAAGGACACTGTCCCTCCCTCGCCTCCTGGAGGCCTCTGGCGAGGGCTCCTCTGTTTGGAGGCCTGGGGGCAAAGTTGCCAGGGCGGCTGGATGGACACCTCTGTCCCCCGTCTGTCCTTCAGCAGGTGGTCGCGGGGCCCTGGCCCTCAGACAGTTCACAGCCCAGTGAGACGAGAGGGGGGAGGGGCTGCAACACGTATTTAAAATGCAGGGGACGGTGGTCTCCCAGCTCTGGCTGCCCAGTGGTGGTTTCCCAGGGACGCTGGCCAAGGGGCGCATGGGGACTCTGTATTATTCTTGCAACTTCTCATGAGTCTTCAACTATTTCCAAATAAATGATCATTTCAAAAAATGCACCCACGCCCTGGCCGGGCTGGCTCAGCAGTTAGAGCGTCAGCCTGCGGAGCAGAGAGACCCGGGTTCGGTTCTCGCGAAGGGCACGACCTCGGTTGCAGTTTGTCCCTGGCCCCGGCTGGGGTCATGTGGGTGGCAACCAGTAGGTGTGTCTCTCTTACATCGATGTTTCTCTCTCTTCCTCCTTCTCTCTCTCCCGCTCTGTCTGAAGATAAATGCAAACAAAAAACAAAAAAAATGCACCCACTGAAAAAGCAAAATACAGTGCGGTACATGCCAAGGTCGAGGTCGTGCCAAGGGTGGCCGAGCCCGGGACAGCATCTTGGACCCTTCACGGGCGGTTACCTCCCACCTTCTTGTCCCGTTTCCTCCGCCAGTGCCTTCCCCTCAGAAGAGCAGAGAAAGAGCCCCCATGAAGACGATGACCATTTCCTTGAAGATCAATGACCCCCTGGTCACGAAAGTGGGTAATGTCCACCTGTCCCCCTTTCCCGAGGGTGCCCTGAGCAAACGGCCTGCCCAGGCTTCGAAGACAAGCTAACCAACAGCCACAACAAAGACGCGCGGGGTCCGGGGCTGCCCTCCTGCGAGGGGCTGAGCAGCGCGGGGCGGGGAGGGGAGGCCGGGCAGGCGGCCCGGGCAGCGGTCAGTGCTGCTTCAGGGAGGGGCTCGTCCTGGGCAAAGAGGCGCGAGGGACGCAGAGGAGGGAGGAAGTGGTGGCTGCTCCGCAGAGCCGGGGAAGTGGAAGGGCCCTTCAGGGACGCGAGGCCAGGGAAGCTCTCGGGCCCACGTTTGACCCTCCAAGACCCCTGGCCCGCTGGTCCAGCAGCAGAGGCCTCCTCAGGGGCTCCCCTCGGCTTAGCCCGTCTCATCCCCTCCTGCCCACCCAGAACTTCCGTGTTAACGTGACCACGTCCTGTCGTGGTAGTCAGTCAGTAGGCCAGGAAGTCACCCCTCAGCCCTGGCTGGGCTGGCGGTCCTCAGAGCGCCTTGACCGCACCGAGTGCCCGGCTCCCTGGTCAGGTCAGGAGCTCGTTCCGAAACCGGCACATCTCCCTGGCTCCTCCCAGGCCCCCGGCTCCGGGGAGGACCTGCTGTGAGTTCCGTGCGGTTCCTGAGGAAAGCTGTGCCCAGGTGCACATGGCTCTGCGGGCGTTTGAGCGCTGCCTCGGGCACGGCCACGGAGCCCGGGGTGGGAGGGCACCCAGACCGCAGCCAGGCTGGGGAGCACGCTGTGCCATGGACCCCGGGGTGGGAGAGTACCCCAGGCCCAGACCGCAGCCAGGCTGGGGAGCACGCTGTGCCACGGACCCCGGGGTGGGAGAGCACCCAGGCCCAGACCGCAGCCAGGCTGGGGAGCGCGCTGTCAGCCCCAGACCCCGGGGTGGGAGAGTACCCCAGGCCCAGACCGCAGCCAGGCTGGGGAGCGCGCTGTGCCAGGGACCCCGGGGTGGGAGGGCACCCCAGGCCCAGACCACAGCCAGGCTGGGGAGCGCGCTGTGCCAGGGACCCCGGGGTGGGAGAGCACCCCAGGCCCAGACCGCAGCCAGGCTGGGGAGCACGCTGTGCCACGGACCCCAGGGTGGGAGAGCACCCCAGGCCCAGACCGCAGCCAGGCTGGGGAGCACGCTGTGCCACGGACCCCGGGGTGGGAGAGCACCCCAGGCCCAGACCGCAGCCAGGCTGGGGAGCGCGCTGTCAGCCGGAGCCGTTCTCTCCCGCTTCCTCCTCCGTCCCTTCTGGGAGGCTGGAGCCGGCGGTGTTCGCACCCAGGTCTCGCAGGTGCGTGTTCTCTGTCGGCTGCCCGGGCCGCCCAGCGGGTGGACACTGAGCACCCAGCAGGGAGGGCGCCCACGAGGGATGCGGGGTGCAGAGCCCTGCGCTGAGGGCTGTCTCTCGGGTGCTGCCTCCCCAGCCTTCGCCACGGCCCTGAAGAACCTCTACACGAGCCAGGTGGACTTGACCTTGGATGACACGCTGGGGGTGCTGGCCTCCGCCCACGCTCTCCAGTTCAGCAGCCTGTTGCAAAGGTACGGGATGCGGTGCAGCCAGGGCCAGCCGGGGGGCGGGGGGCTGACACCTTCCACAGAACACGCCCCGTCCGTGGGCCACAGCACCCAGGTCTCTGCACAGAGCACGGCTTCGAGTCTGCAAAGGAACCAAGTTATGTTATCAGCTCACAATGGAGCCCCACCCCCAGGAACAGACCCATTTTTATTGATTCTTGACCCACAGGGATGAAATGAAAATGGAGGATTTCTGTGCCTGGTGACGCTTGTCAGGTGTGCAGAGTGACCTCCCAGAGCGCTCAGGCCACGCTGGTCAATCTCGCCTGTGCTCCTCCAATTCACAACACCTGTCCATCTGGTCGCACGCACGGAAGGTCACTGAAGTCAGGCTGACTTCCCAGCTCTGCCAAACTCACTTCTCACTCCTTTCCCGCAGAGCCTTGGTTTTCTTGTAAATATTATTATTTAAATTTATTTTCTTTATTGATGTTAGAGAGAGAGAGAAACATCGATGAGCGAGAACATGGACTGGCCGCCTCCTGCACGCCCCCCACTGGGGATCAGGCCCACAACCTGGGCATGTGCCCTGACCGGGAATCAAACCAGCAACCTCTTGGTGCAGGGTCGACGCTCAACCACTGAGCCGCACCGGCCAGGCAATGTTATTATTATTTTTACAAATGTTATACATGGTCATTGCAGAACTTATCGGAGACAGAAAAATTCAAAGGTCGGAGTCAAAATTGCCCATCGGTCCAACTGCCTGTTTGGAACACAGCTTCTCCCCTGGGCCTTCAGATCCCACAGGCCCCCCTGGGTCCTCTGGCCAAATGTCCACACCCTCAAAGGGGCCCCTCCTCGGGAAGGGCTCTGCCTCCGGCCTGGAGGTGAAGGAGACCCCCTGGGGAGGCCGGGTCTGCAAGCAGCCACCCCGAACAGCCGCGCTGTCTCCACAGGTGCTCGGCCATGATGATCACTGGGCTCACCTCAGGCAACGTGAACGACTTCTACCTGGCCGGCTGCAAGGTGAGAGATGCTGGGCGCGGCGCGCAGGGAGCCCGCAGGTGCACCCCCCGGGCCACGCACCCGGCCCCGCTCCCACGTGCCACCAATGTTTCACTTGGCCAAGTGAGCGATTTTGAAAAACTGTTTATTTTGAAAAGGCTATTTTAACACCCAAAAGGTAGAGAAGCTTTCATCTTGGGGGCTAGGGGGACAGCACAGCCTTTCTCCCCGAAACAGCCAACAACCTTCCAGGATGTTCGTGTTGGAGTTGGGTGCAGTTTGTCCCCCCTGGGAAGAAGGGACGTAACCAACTCTCAGAAAACGGAGACCCAAGGCGGGGAGCTCCTGGCCCGGGTGCCCGGGTCTTAGCCCGAGCCTCCTCCGTGAGGCCGCTGCTGACGAGAGGGACACGCTGGGCAGAGAGCGGGGCTCCCGCGCCATTGGCACCTCGCGGCGCTCTCCCAGGAGCCGCCACGAGGCTCTGGCGCCCGTTTGTCCAAAGTAGCTCATGCCCTCACCTGCGCTCCATCGGTCACTATGGTCCTGGCTCCGCACCGCAGCCTGGAAGACACGGGGGTGTCCCTGCAGGGCCCCAGGTCCCAGGAGTCCTTTGCCCCTTTCCCTGGGCCTCCTTTTAGGGCCTGTGCTCGCTCCTGGCCTTACAGCTCCCCGGGGGAGGACCCCACGGGGCCTCAGGGGTCAGTCACTGACCTAGTCCAGAGGTTTCAGCGTCCGAGCCCTGTGGTCAGACCCCGGGGTGTGAGCCGCAGCCTCTCCGTCGGTAACACGGGGATCCTCAGGAGCCGGCCTCACAGGGCTGCAGAGAGGTCAGGCTCAGCCGCCCCGGGCGGGCCTTGGGCACAGCGGCTCAGAAGGTGGCATCTGCTGGTCCATTCTGCGGACAGGGCTGCGCCTCGGGGCAGGACCCGGAGCACGCGTGTAGCCTCGGCGCTGTCCAGCAGAGGGCGCCGGGGCTCAGGATTCCTTACCCAGGGGCTTTTCTTGCTTCTCAGTACAAGACCGGGCCTCTGGCCGCGGCTGCCCAGAAGTGGCTGGAGATGAACCTGGTCCCCGAGGTAGGGAGGCAGATCCACCTCCAGAAAGTCCCAAAGGAGCTGCTCCTCAAAGTGCTGAGGTCCCCCAGGTCAGAGCTGGTGGCAGGTGTGTGTGGGGGGTGCCCGCCGGGGGGGGGGGGAGCAGGGCTGTGGGGGGATGGGAGGGGCTCCGGCCTGCAGCACCCACACCCTGCTGGGCATACTCAGCTGCAGCCTCTCCTCCATCCCATGCGTCTTGCCCTCCTGGGCAGCCGGGGGGTGGGGGGAAACGTGGGGTGCTGTGCGTGGCGAGGGGCGTTCTTTTCACACTGTCGATCTGGGCGAGGACCTATGGGTGCCCACTGTCTCATTACCCACCTGATAATTAACTAATTGCCTAAGTAAGTTTTTTAAAAAATCCTGCCAACATCAATATGCATTCGTGGTGGAAAATTTGGAAAACAAGGGAAAGCAGAAAAGGGAACATCAAAGCCCTCAGTCTGTCCCTGTCCCAGCCTTGGCCTGTCCTGAGCAGCTCAGGCAATTTAGGCTAAACGCCAACTCCTGGTGCCCCTGCCCCCCTGCCCCCAGAGTTCCTCGGCCACCTGCTCGAGCTGGCACCTTGGGGGTCCTTCTGGGCACCGCTTTGCCCCCACTCCCATGCGCAGTGGGTTCGACTTTGACCCGAGCCGGTCACTATGGGTCTGTCTCCACGGGCGCCAGCTGGAGGCCAAGTCTCCCTGTCTCATCTGGACCCGGCTGGGACCTCTGACCTGTGACTCGCTCCTGCTCTTGACCCCCTTCCAAGCGTGTCCCCCGCTGAGGAGCCTTTGCCCTGCCAACCCGACACCCCGGCCTTCATCTCACGCACCCCTGGGCAGCCAGGTGCCCTCCTGAGGCCCCGGAGCCCCTGGCACCCACAGGGACTCTGTGTGGCCTCTGCCACCTGAAGTGCCCATCCCGGCGGGCTCCTGACCTCCGAGTGATCCACGGAAGCCTCTCCCGTGCTCAGCCTGGTCCGTTATTCCCAGTTTCACAACATGAACAGCACCGGGGCGACGCTAAATTAAATTCCGGGAGCGGAATTCCTCAGTCGAAAGGAATTTCTCTTTGTTTTTATGGGCATTTTAAAAAATATATATTATTTGAAATTAATTTTAAACAAACAAAAATTACAGGAACAGTACAAAGAATATCTCTACACCTGTAACCTGGTCAGTTTCTCCCTCTCTCTCCCTCTCTCTCTCACACACACACACACACACACACACACACACGTTCTCCTGAACCCTTGGAGGCCAAGGAGCATACACCATGATCCCTTACCCATGTTCACCTCTGAATTAAAAGCTTGTTTTAAACCAGAATCACTCAGGAAACTGAACATGGATGTACCGTCGGCCCAGTGCTGGCTTTTACGCTGCCCCCGACCCCCCGTGTAGGTCACACCGCATCTCCTTGACGTGCCCCTTTGGGACTGTTCACAGGTTTTCATACCCACTGCCCGGTTACCAAGACCGTATTCCCTTCGGGTGGATCGCAAAAGTGCGAGCTAACTTCTGCTGAGAGTGCAAGTTATACACTAGGAAGCAGGCTTGCCTGTGCGTCTGTGCACAAAGCCTCCCCAATTCAGAAGTTAGATCTGCACGCTCAGTCCACTGCCGGCTCCAATGCCCTGCTGGGTGCGTGGGGACATGAGGTGGGTGCTGAGGGAAGCCGTATCTACGCAGGGCAGGCCCGGGTCCCAGGAGCAGCCCCAGGCACCAGCGGGCGCCCTGCCCCCGCCCTGCCCCCGCCCTGCCCGGGCTGCACTCTCCTGCCTCCAGGGGAGCGGAGGTTATGCAACTGGTGAGGAGAAGACAAACAGGCACCCCTCAGACGGCCCCGCCTCGGAAAGACTGAGCTGCGCCACCCCGGTAGCATTTAGCCAAGGAAGGGGAAAAGTCTGCCCACAACCAGAGCGTCAGTGGGGCACAGGCAGTAGAAAACAGACGCTGGGCAGAAAAAGAAATCGGAACGTCATGCGTCGAGTGTCTAGACTTACACACTGGGGACACATGAGCGATGTGGAAACCGGTCCCGCTTCTCCGGCTCCTCCCGGGAGCCCCTGGGGCCGCAGGCACAAATCCAGTCACCCCTGAGCCTGGTGGCCTGGCCACCGCGCCCTGACTCACATCTTCCCAGTACACTGTCCTTGCCCAGGTGATGTCCAGGAGCCACCTGCTTTAGCCGGCAGGAGGGAGGGCGCAGAGGGCACAGGGACAGGAGCTTGGCCACACCCAGTGCTGGTGACAGTGTGAGAAACGTGTCCAGGCTCCGGCTCCAGGGGCCGCGCGTGGTTAAGAGCAGATTTGGGGGGGGTGCTGGGTGCACTGTCCCTTTCGGTCCCCACAGCCCTGTGCAGTGGGTGAAATTGCTGTCCATAGATCAGAAGGACAATACAAGGCCGGGCCGGGCTGCAGCCCAGGCGCCAAGGTCCAGGGTTCCACCCTGGTCCCTGTACCGTCCCCTCTTGGGTTTACAGAGGCTGCGGTTTCCCAGCAACCAATTCAGCCAGGACTGGGAAGCCATGTGACCCCAGACTGGCTGTGCCCAGGGCAGGGCTGGAGCGCCCATCGGCCCGGCCCGCTGGTCATGGTCCTGGTGTCCGGTCTCCTAGCCTTGTTTGGAGCCACATGCGTCCCTCAGCTGATGCTCAGCTCCTGGACCTCTGGTTTTCACTGGGTTGCCTGCCCTTGGCTGCCAGTTACTTCTCTTCTTAGAGGTCACCACTAGGTTACCCGGTGCTAACTTCAATACCACAAAAGCTTCATTTCGAGGTCTGTTTTTCTGGAAGCCGAGTTCCCTGTAGGCCTCAGAGGATGAGACCCAGAGGTAGTTCCTGCCCACGCAAGGCTGCTGTGCACCCGGGGCACCGCGTCTCTCCGCGTGTCCACCTCTCCCTGACCCCGTCTGTGGTCCAAGGATCCCCGAGGGCGCAGGAATTCCCCGAGAAGTGCCGGCCGCCTCCACAGATGCCTGTGTCCCCGCTTTCCACAGGCGCCCGGAACACCACTGGGCACCCCTCTCGAATGTAGTCGTTCCTGAAGGGAACGCTTCTACAGTTAGTAACAGTCCCCACCAGTTACTGAGCGCCTGTGGGGCACAGACCCCCGGCTGGACTACTGGTCTAATTCCTAAGAACCCAGAGCGGGGCTGTTACCTCGGTTCGGCCCATGCAGTGGAGGTGACAGGAAATGAGGGATGGGCCCAAGCTCCCCGCAGGCAGCACAAGAGGGGCTTTGAACTGTCTGAGCGGCCTCCAGCCCGGGATCATGGCCAGCGCATGGGGAGCCGTGCTCCAGGCCTCCCCTTTCCTGACTGATGGTCACGATCCATCAGGGGATTGATCTTTGTGTTTCTTTACTGAAAAGGCTTTACATAGGTAGGAGGCTAAGACAAAACCCCATGGGACCCACCTCCCGGTGAGCAAATGGTAACATTTTGCTACATGTTAAGCGATGGAACTGAGCTATCCCAAAGCAGAAATCACCTGTGCCCCTCCCAGCCCTACCCCCGCCTCCCTCCCTGAAGACAGAGGAACACTCGCGACACAGACGTGCGTCCGTGACGGACGCATCATGTCGTGTAAACGTCTCTGGGACAGTAACGTCCTGTAACTGACTCTCTCCACGGACGTCAGGCCCTGTGCTCCCTCCACGTGGACACTGACCTGCCTCATTACCACTTCAGTGTAGTCGGCGTCAGGGTTCTGCTGAGTGAACAGACGGGTTTCCACTCCCTTCCTGGCGGCCCGATGTTACGCGTTTGGCTTCATTTTTCGCTGAGCCGGTCGCTGCTGCAAGGAGCTCCCTCATCTGCAGGTTCTTGCTCCTGGCTACTCTGTGGGCTGTGATCAGAGGGGCCTTTGTTACTTACAGACACGTTTCTCAAACAGAAGAGAGCACGGTCTCATTAAAAAAATTGTTTTTCTTTATTGATTTTAGAGAGAGAGGAAGGGAGAGGGAGAGAGATGGAAACATTGATGAGAGAGAACATTGATGGGCCGCCTCCTGCATGCCCCCCACTGGGGATCGGGCCCACAGCCTGGGCATGTGCCCTGACCGGGAATCGAACCGGTGACCTCTTGGTACATGGGTCCACGCTCAACCACTGAGCCACACCAGCCGGGCTTAAAAGCATTTTTTGGTTGTCAAGAACAAACCCCAGGTACAGCCCACAGCTCCCCACCTAGAACAGCCCGGGTTTCGGCTGGAGGGAGGTCTGGGGTCTGTGTGAGTTCCCCCTTGATTAAGGGCCTCGGGCTCCTGGTGAAGGGCAGTGTGTTTGACTGTGCTCAGGGGGGTGACCGCCCACAGGGACTGCCATGTGAGGTGCCAATATGCAGCCTCAGGGCAGAGGTTCAGCAAGGACCCTTCATCATAGAAATGAGACCCGGATCCGATTCCCGGAGCCCGCAGTCCCCGCCATGCGCCGCTAGCCCCGTTGGAGAGTCTCAGAGAACCTCCTGGGCCTGGGGTTTCAGGCGTGGATCCTGCCCCAGAGTCACCTCGCTCGCCGGCCAGTGGCAGCTGAGTCCCGGCGAGTTCTCTGTGGGGACGTGATACCAAGCAGCTCGATGACGTCTCCCCTCCTGCGGCGGCCCCCCCGTTACTGCCCAGACAGTGACAAATTTGGTCCTGTCTGGCCGGAGTCGAAGCCCATGCATCTGTAGGTGTCCCGAAAACAAATAAGAGGAAAGAGACAGTTCAACTGTGTCCCGAAATAGCGTGAAAGGTGGGTGGGTGACATTTCCGTTGCCCTTTGGAGTCACCATCTGGCTTGGGCTCCACCCACTATGACCACTTAAGTGGTGGGTGAAGAAGCTGCGATATATTTTGTTTTGTTTTGCTTTGTTAATCCTCACCCCAGGATATTTTTTTCCATTGATCTTTAGAGAGACTGGAAGGGAGGGAGGGAGGCGGGAGAGAGAGAGAAACATCGATGTGAGAGAGACATCGATGAGTTGCTTCCCGCACATGCCCCGCCCGGGGCCAGAAATCAAACCTGCAGCCCAGGTATGTGCCCTGGACCAGGAGCCAAACCCAGGACCCGTCCGCGCTCAGGCTGAGGCTGTGACCATTGAGGCGCACTGGCCGGGGCGAGGCTGCGACACGTTTCCAAGCCAGGGCGCCGTCTCCGTGCTCAGAGATGGGAAGTACCCGTGGGTGTACGGGACGCTGAAATGTCTCCCTAGATCGTCGAGTCCCAGGGCTGTCCCAGAAGCTGTCTGGGAGTCGTCTTGCCCTTAGAGAGCTGAGAGGTGGAGACAGCAGCGCTCTGTATTACTCCGTTCTGGATGCGGCCTTGGGGTGCCGCAGGCCAAGTGGAGTCCGGGGACCACCGTGACTCGGGGCTCCGCCCGCCCAGCTCGTCACCTCGTGCCAGGCACGGGGCTAAGCAGTCTGTGTGGACAGCTCAATAAGGGTCCCCAAAATGTCCCCATGCCAACCCCACCCGGCACCTGGGACTGTGTTAGGTCGCATGACAAGGGGGCTCACTGTCGCAGATGAGACCAAGGTGACTCTGGATGACCTGGAGATGGGGAGGGGATCCTGGCTTGTCACTTGGCCCGATGTGCTCACAAGGCCCTGGGATGTGGGCGAGGGAGGCCAGAGTCGGAAGGGAGAGGAAGCGGCTCCCCTGACTCGGAGAAGGAGGACGGGGCCTCCAGCAGCCAGGACGCGGGAGACGGCCGGAGCCGAGTCTCCGCAGGAGCCTTCGGAGGGACAAGCTCTGTCAGGGCCATTTTGCTCTTCAGGCCTCCGGAGCGGAGACAGGACGTGTGCGCATTCTCCAGCCGCTCAGCTCATGGCCTGCGTTTCGGCCGCAGCAGGAGATGACACGCCCTGTCACCTCGACCTCTGTCCTCTGGCAGCTGCGGTCACCAGTACTTCACAGATGGCAGAGCTGGGGCTGCAGAGCCACGGAGCAGCCCACGGGAAGGTCCACAGAGGGTGTGGGCAGGGCCCAGCCACGCCCAGTCTCGCCTTCGATCGGTGACCTTGAGCAAGTCACTCACGGCTCAGTCCTCCATCGGGGCTAGGACGAGAATGTGACCAAATCTTGGGGGGGGGCACCCAAAAACCTGTCATGGAGATTCTGTGTACAATACTTAGAAATAAAGTTGTAAAAATCCATGGTGAACAAAATATCACAATTTTAAATAAACGGTGCATCTCAATTCCCCCATCTGGGAAAGTAAGGCGTGTCCCAAGTTGGTGGGGCAGCTCTGCAGGATTAAAGAAAAGAATGGCCCTGCCGTGGCTCCGTGGACTGAGCATCGTCCCGTGGACTGAGAGGTCCCAGTTCGATTCCCGGTCAGGGCACGTGCCCCGGCTGTGGGCTCGATCCCCAGCAGGGGGCGTGCAGGAGGCAACCCATCGATGTTTCTCTCTCACGTTGATGTTCCTCTCTCCCTCTCTCTCCCCTTCCCACTCTGTCTGAGGATAAATGGAAAAATATCCTCGGGTGAAGATTTAAAAAATAAAAAAGAACCGATGAAGCGTCTGGGGAAGACCTCCTCGTTAATGATGGCGAGTGTGGCCCTGGCCGGCTTGGCTCAGCGGTTAGAGCGTTGGCCTGTGGTCCGGAGAGACCCGGGTTCGGTTCCCGCTAAGGGCACGTACTTCGGTTGCAGTTTGTCCCCGGTCCTGGTTGGTTGTGCGGGTGGCGACCACTCGATGTGTCCCTTTCATGTCGCTGTTTCTCTCTCTCTCTCTCTCCCTCTCTTTCTCCCTCCCACTCTATCTGTAAAAAACAAAAAACAAAAATGATGGCAAGTGTGGGGGGCCGCTCAGGGCTCTAGCGCCAGGCTGCTGAGGGCCAAACCCCAGCTTGGCGCTCGCCCTCCCAGTGACCTTGGGCAGGTCACTTACCATCGCTGCATCTGAGGCCCCCGTGGGCGGTATTGCCTCATTCCTACTCACTTTGTCACCAACAGTGTGATTTTCCCGCCTCCTAACGGGTCCCCTCAATCTTTTCTGACCAGGCTGTTTACTTTCAATGAGTTTCATCTTCTGAAAACACTGCTTTTGTGGGTCTACTTGCAACTGAACCACAGAATTCGGACCATGCCGACCTATGAGACCATGCTGACATTTTTTAACAGGTAACGTAACTTGTGTGGGTTGACGGCAGGGTCCCACACCTTTTTTCCTCCTCGTGGTGGGGTGCGGGGGGCGTCCATGGTGTCGTATCGCACGGCATCATTCAGAGAGCCCAGAATACAGTGTTCTCTCCGGGGCCCAGGGTCGTGGGATACCCCGGACCCACTAGATTCCCGGGAAAAGTGAAGGAGACGTAGGTGTCGGAATATCGGGACAATCCTGTGCTGCTGCTCACGTGTTCTGTGTCCGATGGGAGACACGATGCTGAAGGTGCTGCTCCTATTCGGGGGCGTCCCCAGACCACACTGACCTCAGTCGGACCACGCCCTTCTCGCTGGCGTTTCTGCCAAGCGCACATGGGTCTGAACGTGCCGGGCAGCTGGGAAAGCAGTGCATGTTTACCGGTTTCGTAGCGGTCGCCTGTTTCTTAGACCCGACACCTCTCGGTCCTGAGGGCTGCGTGGCTGCCGTTCACGTGGAGAGGGACCCTGACAGCAGGATGAGCGCCGCTGGGTTCGCTCGCTGGGTTCGCTCGCTGAGCGCGGGCTTCCCATAAGCCTCTGTTTTGGTCTCAGTGACCTGCCTGACGCTCACGGGCTGGTTTCATTTTCCCATTTTCCAGACGAGGGAACGGAGGGAGAGACGAACTGTCTCATCAGAGGGCACCTGTGGGATAAGGGCGGAGCCTGACCTGCACCGAGACCCACCGAATCCCAGATGCTTGGCTACCCGCTCCCAGAAGGGCCGCAGGGACCCCTCTCTTGAGCCGGTCTCACTTGTTCAGCACCAGCTCCCTGGGCAGAGTTCAGAAGATCCTGCGGCTGCCTCTGGGCTCCGTGTTGGCGAATTACTTCTCCTATTGCCTTGCAGTGCGTTCCTTCCCTCGCCTGTGAGGGTGTCAGCCATGCAGCCGGGGGCAGGGAGCAGGGGGCAGCGGGAAATCCACAGTTCATGGGCTCCGTGCAGCGTGTCCCGGGGCCTCTGCTAAAACCGTGCTGCTCACGCCGTCCAGGCCGGCTCGGCAGTGTGGTGACCCTGCAGCCAGAGACAGCCCTGGGGGCCCTCAGAAGATACGCCCTGCGCCGGAGGTAGCTGGTAGCATTGCCTTTACTGCCGGGCTTACCTGCAGGGCGGGGCCGCCACGCACGGCGAGGTGTGTTCAAGCCCGTCAGGAGGCTCCCTTTCTCGTGCACACGTGAGCTCAGCACATGCACGCGTCCTCCGTGTCTCGGTCGCCTGTGGGCCTGTGTGAGCCAAGTTTCGTTTGCCTTGTTCCGAAGCACCGCAGCTTTTCCGGAAACATCTGTGCACCGTGTTCACGCACGAGCCCGTGTTTTTTCTGTCTCGTTATTTGGGGAAAGCGGTCGTCAGTGCCAAGATGATGTGCACTTTGCTTCGTTTCTGTATAATTTGCCTCGAACCCAGCTATTTTCATCGCTTCCCCTCGCCTGCACTTTTAATAGCCCGAGAGACACTTTTTCCTGTGAGTCACGCGCACCGGGAAGCGGTGCTCCTGGGCTCCAGGTGGGGTCTCGTCCTGGAAGCGTCTCAGGGCCCGGAGGTGGGAAATGAGCTGATGCGGGTGAGTCACCGGACTGTCCTCCGTGTGAGGGAAACAAGCGGGACCGAGAGCGAAGGCCTGTGGCCCCTCCACTGAAGGCGGGCGCCTGGGCCTCCGGGCTCCAAGGCTGTTCCCGACACGGCACCTCTTGGCTCATAGCGTCTCCACGCCTCTGGATCTGTGTCCACTCCATCCGGCCCCAGCCTCAGCCCTCCCAGGGCATCTCCCCAAGCCCCGGACCCTGCGGTCTTCCTCGTTGGAAATATTTGCATGTTTTCAAATCATTGCACAGTCCCGGCCTAAGGGGTCCTGTCAGCGTCTGTGTGAGGGCCTGTGTCCGGGGACGGCCGCGTCTGTGCGAGGCCCGTGTCCGGGGACGGCCGCGTCTGTGCGAGGCCCGTGTCCGGGGACGGCCGCGTCTGTGCGAGGGCCGTGTCCGGGGACGGCAGCGTCTGTGCGAGGGCCGTGTCCGGGGACGGCAGCGTCTGTGCGAGGGCCGTGTCCGGGGACGGCAGCGTCTGTGCGAGGCCCGTGTCCGGGGACGGCAGCGTCTGTGCGAGGCCCGTGTCTGGGGACGGCAGCGTCTGTGCAAGGGCCCGTGTCCAGGGACTGGAGCAGGATGCCTCCTGCACCTGTGAACTAGCCTGGCTCCGTCTCTTCCTCTCCCCTCCTGCCAGCGAGACTCGTGTCCCCCAGGAGAACAAACAGGACAGCCTGGACCTCAGACGCTCTTCCCCGCAGGGCTCCAGGCTCTCACACGTGGCTCGTTGTTAGCATCATGGGTGGTCCCGTCCCTGCTCGCCCGTCTGCTCCGGACCAGTGGTGTCTGCAGGGTGCTCCCTAGTCGGTGGCCTCCCCTCCGCCAGGGATAGGATGGAGGGAGCGAGAAGGCTGTGGCTGAGCTGCCCTGAAATTACAGCCTGTGCCCGTCACAGGGGCCTGCCCCCGCCACAGGGGCCTGCCCCGGGCAGCGCCTTCCGGGAAGGCCTTGTTCAGGGGCCTGAGAGGAGGACCCAGAGTCAACCTCAGTGTGTCTTTCAGCATCAAGAACCTGTGAACTGCCCCGGCCGGTGTGGCTCAGGTGGTTGAGTGTCGGCCCTGCACCAAAAGGTCGCCAGTTTGATTCCCAGTCAGGGCACATGCCCGGGTTGCAGGCTCGATCCCCAGTGGGGGGTCTGGCAGGAGGCGGCCAATCGAAGTTTGTTTCTAAAAATCAATAATAAGCCCAGCCAGTATGGTTCTGAGGTTGAACGCCCAAGGGGTCACCGCTTCAATTTCCGGTCAGGGCACGTGCCCAGGTTGTGGGCCCGATCCCCAGTGGGGGGCATGCAGGAGGTAGCCAGTCGATGTTCTCTCTCCTCGATGTTTCTATCTCTCTCCCCCTCTCCCTTCCTCTCTCTCTAAAATCAATAAAGAAAAAATATTTTTAAAATAATAATAAATAAAAATCAATAATAATTTTTTAAAATCTTGGGGGGGGAGTCTGTCATCCCTGGGAAGGGGGAGGCTCAAGCGGAAGAATGTCCCCCGGCACCCTCTCTCAGGGCCGTGTTCCCGTCGACCGTTCGACAGGTACTTGCTGGGCACCTGCCGTGGGCACAGCTCAGCAGACAGAGGGCACAGCTGTCTCGTCATGATCTCCACACACACTCCTGCCCCCACCCCGGGGGAGGCAGCACCACCTCCCCTGCTGGTGAAACCACTGGTCTCCGGTGTGGCTGTCGCCAGCCCCAGGTCCTCGCAGTGTTCTGAGGGCCCTCCATTGCTCTGTGCCTCCACCAGCTTCCCCAAGAGGTGCTCCGTTCTAGAGCAGGACGAAGGACGCGGCTGGACGGCGCTCTTCCTCTGCCTGCGTCTGCACGGCGTCACCAAAGGTAGACCGGCCTGTGGGTGTGTCCGCGACAGGCTGCGGGGGACCCCCCACCAGGGGCCTCCTCTGAGCTGGGTGAGGCCTGGGCAAATCACCGCCCAGCCTCCGTTCCTGTGTCTGTAAATGGCTGTCAGCGGAGTGTCCATGAACGTGGTGACGTGTGGAAGGGGCCACTCCCCGCAGGCACACGGCCGCCAAAGGCCACGCTGCTGCCGTCTCCCGTGGCCTGGCCCCGGCCCCGGAGCAGCCCCCTTGGGTGGCTCGTGTCACGGTTTGGGAGAAAACTCGGGGGCTGCGCTCCAGACTTGAGCTCCCCCACCTCAGGCTCTGGCCCAGGGTAAGGCAGCTGGGCTTGGAAAGAGGAGGGAGATACTGGGGAGGATGTTCTGGGCAGCCCAGAGGCCACCCAGTGAGATCTGTGTTTGAAAGGACACTTGGGACTTCCAGCAATCCAGATACAACGAGTGGCTCTAAAGCGCAGGGTTGGGTGATGGGGCCCGGGCATTGTTGTCCACGTGGCTCCTAGACACTCCATAGACACTGATGATCTGATCTCAACCCTCCGTCCTGGGCAGGATTGGGGGTGGGGACGGTAGGCGAATGGGGGACGTGCTGTGTGATGTCCCGTTTGGGTTCCACACACCTTTGCTCCCCCAGGCCCAGGGAAGGACCTCCAAGCCTCAGCTCCTGACTTCCCCCTTTTCCCTCTGTAACTGAGTCTCGGGCTGTTCTCTCACGAACAAATCCGTGAAAAGGTTCCCTCTGTGTGTCCCCCAGGCGAGGACCTGGACGTGTTGCGGCACATTAACTTCTTCCCCGAGGCCTGGCTGTTCCAGGTGGAGGCCAGCCATTACCACGCAGTGAGTGGCCAGCGCGCGGGAAGGCAGAGACGAGCGCACTGCTTTCTGACTGCCTTTTCTGGGGATGTGTTTTGCATTTGGAATCTCTGGGCCTCTGAGGTCAGGGTATCTGGGTCCTCCGCCAGGGGAAGTGGACAGAGCCAAGCCCAGACGGGGCGGAGGGAGGAGGCCTTGGCGCCAGGCTCAGAGCATCTGTCCTGCCGAGCTGGAGAGGCACATGGGTGGAGGATACCGGCCACACCCAGCGGACACGAACGTCACATGTGCTTGTTACCAAAAATTTCCAAAACGCAGAAAAATTGAAAGAAAGAAAATACAGGTCGAATATATACCCTCGGACCTGTCACCCAAAGACAACCATCGCTAATGTCTTACTGCATGTTGCTGCCTTTCACTCTTTTTTGGTTTATTTTTATTTTTTGTTTAATCCTCACCCAAGTATATTTTTCCACTGATTCTTAGACAGAGTGGGAGAGGGGAAGGGAGGGAGAGAGAGAGATAGAAACATTGATGAGAGAGAAGACCCACTGGCTGCCTCCTGCACGCTGCCCCCCCGGGATCAGGCCCACAACCCGGGCCTGTGCCCTGTCCGGGAATCGAACCGGTGACCTCTTAGTGCAGGGTCGACGCTCAACCACTGAGCCACACTGGCTGGGCTTACTCTTGTTTTTAAATACACTCAATTAAATGGGTTCACTAACATCATTTTTTTTTAAATTCCTCACCCAAGAATGTTTTTCTATTTATCTTCAGATAGAGTGGGAGGGAGGGAGAGAGACAAAGGGAGAGAAACATCGATGTGAGAAGGACATGTCAACTGGCTGCCTCCTGCACAACCCTAATCAGGGCCAGGGACGACCCACAACCAAAGTGTGTGCCCTTGACCGGAATCCAACCCGAGACTCATGGGTCCACAGGCCAACACTGTAACCACTGAGCCAAACCGGCCAGGGCACTAACACCATTTTTAATGGCTACAAACTCTTCTCCCAAGAGGATGTTCTATGACCAGGGCTACTCTGCCATTCCTTTATCATAGGAAATGTTTCTACTCCCTAGTTAGTGATTATAAATGCCTCCATGGTGAACACAGCTGCACATGGTGTTTGTTTTACTATACTTGGAGTTATTTTCTTTTTTTTTTATCCTCACTCGAAGACATTTCTGCATTTGTCTTCAGATAGAGCAGGAGGGAGAGAGGGAGGAAGAGAGAGAAACATCGGTGTGAGAGAGACACATCGAATGGTTGCCACCCACACAACCCCAACCGGGGCCGGGGACAAACTGCAACCGAGGTACGTGCCCTTAGTGAGAACCGACCCCGGGACTCCCTGGTCCGTGGGTCGATGCTCTAACCGTTGAGCAAACCGGCCAGGGCTTGGAGCTATTTTCTTTTTTTTTTTTTTATCCTTACCCGAGGACATTTTTCCATTTTTTTGTTCAGATAGAGCAGGAGGGAGAGAGAGGAAGAGAGAGAGAGGGAAACATCGATGTGGAAGGGACACATCGAGTGGCTGCCACCCGCACGACCAACCAGGGCCGGGGACAAACTGCAACCGAGGTACGTGCCCTTAGCGGGAACCGCACCCGGGTCTCTCCGGACCGCAGGCGGACGCTCTAACCGCTGAGCCAAACCCGCCAGGGCTTGGAGCTATTTTCTCATAGGAGATTCTCGAGTGGAAAATACTGGCCCCCAAAGGAATGTGCATTTTTGTTCTTGATTCATATGAACAAATGTGGACCCAAACCACTGTCCTCCACAGTCACGGGCGCCTGTCACGTCAGCCACGCAGCGCAGGTCTGCGCCAGAGCTTCTGTCACCATCTCGTTCCAACGCGCACTCCGTCCTTACGGGACTGCGCGTGTTTTCCCGCCTGGCCTTCCCCTTTGTGACCTGTCCACGCAAACGGTCGTGCTTCCGTTTCCAATCCCGCGCTCTGAGGGTCGAGGCGGCCAGCGCCGGGGTTCTGAACGTGTCTGAGTCACTGGTTGACATTCAGCTCAGCTCAGCAAGTACCTGCTGGGCCGGCCGCAGAGCCGGTGCCCGGCCCCGCACAGCACTGCGGACCGTGGTCCAGGCCCCTCTCGGAGCCGTGCTCTGGCCCAGCAGGGAGGCCAGGCCGCCGAGGCAGAGGACAGTCGCCGGGGCTGGACATCTCAGGCAGCCCCCACGGCCCCTTCCTCTGACCCCTGCTGCCAACGCCATCCCCCCCCCAGCCTGCAGGTGGAGCTGGCCCTGAGGGGCCACTTGCCCTCGGCCGTAGGACTGTGCCCATCGGTCAGGCCCTTAGGGGTGTGCATTTCCCGTCCCCAGGGAGACCCCTCAGGCAGTTGGCTGGCTCTGGTCTTCGAGTCTCTAAAACCAAGGAGCCAGAACTCAGGAGGCAGTCCCGGCCCGGGGCCTGGCTGAAGGGCTGAGTGTAGGACCCCAGACAGACCTCTGTGCGCCCAGTGGGTCCTGAGGACCAGCGCGTGAATGTGCAGGCGAGTCGGGGGTCGGGCCGCCGTGGTATGCTGTGTGTTTCCCTGCAGGTGGAAAACGGGGGCGACATGGTCCACGTGAGAGACTTCGCCAGCGAGGCTGTGAGATTCGGGGTGCTCTTCGATCAGGTACCGCCCGCCGGCCCGAGCAAGGGAGGGACCGCCCTCCTGGGCTTGGCGAAGGACCTCCGTGGGGGCGCTTCCTACCTCGGGTGGGAGGCCCGGGTGAAAAGGGAAGTTGTAGGGATCCCTTCTGCGCGCTCACCACCCCCCAGGAAATGAAATTCTCAAGGCAGGGGCCTGGGACAGGCCATTCGGTAACCCGATGCGCACATCCAAAGTGTCCCCTCGAGGGTGACCCACTGGGTCTTCAGGGATGGGGACCTTTCCCTGGGGTGCAGGACTTTCCACTCTAAAACTGGGAAGGGCCTAGGCAGACTGGCGTGAGTGGGTGGTCCTCTCTCCCACACGCAGAAATGCCACTGCTCCCTGAGAGAAGCCACCGCCGGCCTGGGTGGAAGGCGACCGTGTGAACCTATCCTGCAGCTATTCTGATGGTCTCTAGGCTGGAAGTAATAGTGGGGAGGGGAACTCGGCTGCAAGGCACCTGGGTGCAAAGTCGCCGGGAGCCCCTGGCCTGGAGACTGCACCTGGCTTCCCTCTGATGGGCAAATGCGCCAGGAAACAGGCCTTCACTTCCAATTTCTTTTTTTTTAATCCTCACCTGAGGACATTTCTGCATCTCGTTCCAACGCGCACTTCCGTCCTTACCAGGATTGCAAGTGTTTTCCCACGTGGCCTTCCCCTTTGTGAACTGTCCACGCAAACGGTTGTGCTTCCGTTTCCAATCCCACGTTCTGAGGGTCAAGGCGGCCAGCGCCGGGGTTCTGAACGTGTCTGAGTCACTAGTTGACATTCAGCTCAGATCAGCAAGTACCTGAGCTTCAGGGAGAGAGGGAGGGAGAAAGGGAGGAAGAGAGAGAGACACACATTGACTGGCTGCCAGCCATATGACCCCAATTGGGGTTGGGGACAAACCACAACCAAGGTACGTGCCCTTAGCGGGAACTGAACCGGGACTCTCTGGTCTGCGGGCCGACGCTCTAACCACTGAGCAACCGGCCAGGGCTCATTAAGGTTTTTCAAAGACACCCGGTAGGGAGCTCAAGAGAACTCAGGGCCCTGAATCTATCACCAGGCTCTGCTCCAGGTCCATCCCTTGCTCTCAGAGACCTGCCCACCTGGATGGACTGCAGACCACCCACCGGGGCCAGGATACCTTGCAACACTGCGAGTAGAGAGTGTCCCTTAGTCCCATCATACTGGAGCAGAATGCTTTCAAAGGTCTGCAGGTCCTCTAAGATCACGCCTGACTCACCCTTTTCTCTGCTCTAAGGGACGGGGAGTCACCCAGGGCTCTCCTGCAGGATTTTCCGAGTCACTACAACGTGGCTTTCCTGTGCTTCCTACACTGAACTTGCCACTGGGTGTAAAATCCGTTGTCAAACCCTTGTTCCTGTAGCTGGACTTTGATTTGCGCTGTCCTCTTGCCTTTGATGCCGAGGGTTTTTCTGGTCACCTTGCTTTCTCTTTCCCGATTTAGGGATATACGACTTATTCCGAGATGATCGCTGTGTATGGATTCTTCTTCGAGATCAAGGGGATCAGAAACAGTGCTACCTCCTACACTTTCTACATGCAGGTAGGGGGACAGAGCGCAGGACAGGTGTGTCTCCGAAATGGCCTTTTGGGTTCAGAGTCAATTATACTCAGTTAACGGGGATCGACGAGTCATGGTTTCATAACTAATGACTGTGCGGTGAGCCGGGTGCCAGTCACACTCAGAGATGCGATGCCCTCCCGGGAGGCTCTTATTGTGCATCCATTTGACAGGTGGAGGTGTCGAGGCTGAGTGTCTCCGTGGTCACGTGGCCTCTATTGGCAAAACTGGGGTTGAATTCTAGACTCTAACTCCAGATTTGGGGCTCAGTTCTTCTTCATGACCTACAGGATGGGGGGTGCTTTGAAGGTGGTGTTACTCGGTGGCAGTAACAGGAAGTGCCCGCAGCAGACAGGGAATGGTCTGATGCAAAGTGGCAAAGCAGGGCAGCGGGCAGGACACAGAGAAGCCAGGAGGGTGGGTGGCCTCGCCGGGTGCTCTTTAGGACAGGCAGGAGAGGGCTTGTTTGAGAGCAGAGTCCGAGTCAGGTGCCCAGCATGGCCGTGCCAAGCCCGTGAGCCCCTCCTCTGTGTCCAGGCCCTTGCTCGCTGGGCTGTGGGGAGTGTCCACGTATGAAACTGTGTGGAGGGCTTATCCAGACAGGCCTGACACGCAGAGCATGTACAGGGATGATGATGATGATGATGACGATGATGATGACGATGACGACGACAACGATGATGACGATGACAGTGACAATGACGATGACGACGACAATGATGATGATGGTGACAATGACGATGATGATGATGACGATGATGGTGACGGTGACGATGATGACAGTGATGGTGACGATGACGATGATGATGATGACAATGATGACGATGATGACGGTGACGACAATGATGATGACAATGATGATGATGATGATGACGATGACGATAATGATGACGATGATGACGATGATGACGACGATGACGACGACGGTGATGATGACGACGACGGTGATGATGACGACGACGGTGATGATGACAATGACGATGATGATGATGATGGACAGCCACGATGAGCGACTTACATTTCACGAGGATTTCCTTATAAGTCTCTAACATTTCAGGCTCCTTGAGACACTGTATCTTCTTCACCTTTGTACTATCACCGCCACTCACAGCACCTGGGACACAGGGAGGTGTGTTTGCATCGTGAATGGGTAAACGAGTAAATGCGTGAGTGAAGAGACTAGGATTGTGGTCCCAGCTTCGCCACTACCCTTGAGCAGTTCACGCCTCCTCCTTGGTCTTCAGGGACTCGGGCGTCTCCCTACACAGTGGATTTCACAGGGTGGAAAAGATGGATCCTCTAACCACACCCATCCAAGTGCTCAGATGAATGCGATGTGGGTTTTTCAATTCTGGCCAAGCAGTAGGAAGAAGACCTTCCAATGCAATGAGCTTGGCTGAACGGCATTCCTCTGGGTTGGCCAAGCCCCAGGCCACTGGCCCGTGGTTTGCTGAGTCAGCAGCAGGGGGCTCAGGAGTGGTTTGCTGAGTCAGCAGCAGGGGGCTCGGGAGTGGTTTGCTGAGTCAGCAGCAGGGGGCTCGGGAGTGGTTTGCTGAGTCAGCAGCAGGGGGCTCAGGAGTGGTTTGCTGAGTCAGCAGCAGGGGGCTCGGGAGTGGTTTGCTGAGTCAGCAGCAGGGGGCTCGGGAGTGGTTTGCTGAGTCAGCAGCAGGGGCTCGGGAGTGGTTTGCTGAGTCAGCAGCAGCGGGCTCAGGAGGTGGGATGGGGACACACCCTCCTGCGCTCTGCACACATCCTCCAGGAGGGTCACGTGTGGGGAACCGGGTGCTGCCAGCGCTGTGTCAGCTCCCCCTCAGGCGATCACCCTCCTTGCAGAGAATGAGGCCCACGGACGCGGGATTCCCCTCCTCGCTGTGCCAGCGTGGCCTGGTGAGCCTGAGGGCGCAGCGCCTGGTCAGGTACGAGATCCGAGCCGAGGCCCTGGTGGACAGCCAGTGGCAGGAGTTCCGGACCGGCCCCATCACGCAGCAGTTCCGCTTCGGCCGGCCGGCCTGCAAAAGCCAAGTGAGCAGCGTTCTTTCGTCTCGTTTCGTTTCGGCTCTCTCTCCTGCACCCCTTTTGGGGGTCACTTAGAGAGAGAGGAAGGGAGAGGGGGAGAGAGAGAGAAACATCGATGAGAGAGAACATGGATTGGCCGCCTCCTGCGTGCCCCCCACTGGGGATCGGCCCACCACCTGGGCACGTGCCCTGACCGAGAATTGAACCGGCGGCCTCTTGGTGCAGGGTTGACGCTCACCCACTGAGCCACACCAGCTGGGCTTGCTCAGTTTCTTAAGGCTTACCACAGCTTTGAATGATGCTACAGAGCAACCTCCTAGCATAGAAAGCTGGGGATACAGAATAGCGTACCCCAAACCACGCTGCTCGATGAGGGTCCCGCCAGGTCCACTTTACAGTGTCAAAGGGTGTTTTCTGGAGGGGGGAGGTTTGGTCAGTGTGTTTGCTGCCGCTACCTCCACCCTTGGCTGGACAGCCACCCGTCACTTCTACCGAGATCCATGGCCCGGCCCACCTGCCCCCCAGGCCAGGCCGCCACACAGGCGGGTTCAGCGCTGGCCTGGGTCTCGATGGCTGTGCTTCAGAAATTGCCCCAGAGTTGGGGGGAGCTCTGGGCTGTGAATTGTGGGAGGTCGGGGGCCTCCTGTGCTGCCCTCTGGGGATGGGACTTGGCCTCCAGCCAGAGGGTAAGTCTCAGTCCCGGCGGCTCATCGGAATCACCTGGCCCTTTGCAAGGCCCCCGGCCTGCGTGCCACCCAGGTGAGACCAGGTGGTTCGCAGTGGGGCCAGGTGACTTTTAAAGCTTCCCCAGTCATTCTCGACGGTGTTAGAAACCAGAATTGCAGTGTCCTTTGTGGCGGTGGGCGCAGCCGGGTAAGACCTGGGCTCTGGACTCTATTGAGGTTACACTTACATTTTTAAAGTGTATTTTAAAGGCCTTGGGTGGGCGATTTGAACGTGAGGCCGGAGTTGCGAGCGGACGGCCTCAGCCCCAGAGCGTGGCGTGTTCCTCGTAAAGGCCCCTTCGCCTGGCTCTGCTCGTCCTTCAGGTCTTGGAAGTCCAAACCGTGGGCAAACCCATCTACGCGAGTTTCTCATTCATCTTCCCGGCATCCTGACGGTTTCCAGAAGAATCTACGGAACCATTTTCCTCCACCGGCCCACCTGAGAGAAAATAAAGACGTTGAAGGGCCTACTCAGGCTTCGGCTGGTCTCCCTCAGGAGCGGTGGTCTCGGTGGGACCTCTGCCCGTGGTCTGTCCATTTGGGGCTGAGCCACTGGCTGGCTCGTAAGCAACGAAAATTGGTCCCCTACAGCTCTGGAGTCTGGAAGTCTAAGATCAAGACCCTGGCGCTTTCGCGGTGTGTCTGGGGAGGGCCCACTGCCTGGCTCCTCCCTGTGCCGCACCTGGCAGGGGGGCGGGGCTGTGGGCGTGGCTGCCGGCGGGGCCTTTGACAAGGGCGCTAATCTGTTTGTGAGGGCTCCACCCTCGTGAACTAAGCGCCTCCCAAAGGCCCGTCTCCCGATGCCATCACTTTTGGGGGGGCAGACCACAGCGCCCCCATGTGTATCGTGTGAGGGTGGAAGGCACCAGAGCTGGGGGCCCATTTGCCATCACTGACCCCAAGGTCAGCCCTGACTTCGCATTCGTGGGGCCCTCTGACGGGAGCACCAGCTGCAAGGACACCTCCCCTGGGGCACCAGTTCCCGTGGCTGGTCCCTGGCAGCTTGGGCTCGGCCAGAGCAAGGGGTCAAAGGGCAAGGGCGGCGTTAGAAGGTTCAGAGTGACTCACCTGCTGGCCATCCACCATTTTATTTTTTTAAATATGTTTTTATTGATTTTTAGAGAGAGGAAGGGAGAGAGAGATAGAAACATCCATGTGAGAGAGACATTGATCGGCTGCCTCCTGCACACCCCGCACTGGGGATCGAGCCCGCAACCCAGGCATGTGCCCTGACCGGGAATCGAACGGGGACCCCTCAGTCCCTGGGACGACGCTCAGTGCACTGAGCCACACCGGCCGGGCCGTTCTGCCATTTCAGTGAACCCTGTGGCTTGGGAAAAGGTAGGTGAGAGCTCTCTTCCCACTTTGTGGGTTTGTTCCTATGGCATGTGACAAAGTGCCGCTGCTCGGTGGTGTAGAGCGGCACACTTATTGTTACATCCCTGTTGTGGGTCAGGAGTCCAGGCATGCGTTGGGTCCCCTGCCAGGGTCTCACACCTATGATCGGGTGGCAGCGGGGCTGTGTCCCCACCCGAACAGGTGCGGGGAGAACCCTGGCCAGGCTCCTGAGGCGGTTGGCAGGTTTGTTTCCTTGCAGCTGGATGGCTGAGGGCCTGGCTGCGGACCAGCTGTGGGCAGAAGCCACCCATGTCCTCGAGGCCCCTGGGGTGAGGACCGTGGGCTGCACTCTGCCTCCAGAACCAGCAACAGGAAGACACAAGAGGCAGGAAGACTTGGGGTGTCAGGGAGAGGGGCCCTTTGCCATCACTTCTACCTCCTCCTTGTAGGCGGAGAGACGGAGGCTCAGAGAGGTGGAGTCGCAGTTCTGGTCGGAAGATGCTTACGGAGCACCTCTGACCCACTAGGCACTTGACATGCACCCCTCGCTGAGTTTCTCCAGCCCCCTGTGAGGTCAGTGCAGTATCCACGCCTGGGAGAGAGGAAGCTGGGCCCCAGAGAGCAAGGCCTTTACGAGTTCAAGGTTCTTCAAAGTGGCAGAGCTGGGGGGCAACCAGAGGGCCCACTGAGAAGAGAGGAAATGTTTTGCGGTGCTTAACTCAAGTATGTGTTGAATACCTACTAGTCACTCGACAGAAACTTGCGCTGAGCATGTGGGGTGCACGTGTGCAGTCACATCTGATTCCAAAGGGGGCGCTGGTCTCACTGAGGATGTGCACACACACACACACACGCACACGCACACGCACACACATGCGCCTTGGAGGATGGACGTGGTACACCGGAGACGTTCAAGCAGCTAAGCGTAGGCCCATCGCCAGGACTGTGTGCATCAGAATCACAAAGGAGGTGGTGCAAAGCAGATCCCGGGCCCCACCTTTCAGAGGCTGATTTGCAGTCTGGGAGACACCTGGGCATCTGAGGCAGGAGGTCCGCATCATGCCCAGAAAGGGCTCCGATTGGAAAACGGGGTTCTCCACTGCACCCCACACACCAGATTGTCTTCCTTACCCGGTGCAAAAAATTTTTAAAAACTATCAACAAACCTGTGAGTCTATCTCACCACTGTGGCTGATTTTATTTTCAACACCAATTTCCTAGAATACGAAATAACCTTAACAAAGCGCCCTCCTGTGGGTCCAACCCTTTCCACTAGGGGGCGGGCTCTGCCTCAGAAACGGGAACCAGAATTTCCGCGGCGGGAACTGGCAACCTAGAGCCCGCCCTGAGGCAGGTCCTTGCCGGGTGGTTGAGAGTGAACTTTGTACTTTCCAGGTGAGGCTGAGTGACTCGAACATCCAGTGTCGATGTCACAAAACCTCTGAACTTGGAACGTATAAGTGAGGAGACGAAGTTTCTTAAGATGATCTTACAAGCTCTTCTTACAAGTGGAAATGTCTTAGACTAGAGGTTAAAACCTACAGTCACAGTACCCAGAGCAGTGACCCCGAGTGCTAGTCAGTGCAACGTCCTAAGTGCCATGTCCAGGACCATCTGGCCCACCGCCCCAGCCCCCCCCCCCGCCCCCCGAGATGGCCAGGATCCTCTCCATGCACAGCGACGCTGCGGGTCCTGAATTCAGGCATTCAAGGATCTGGGTCCTAGCTTTGCTCCTTACCAGCGGCGTGGTCTTGTGCGAGTCACCTCACCTCTTGAGCTTCTGGAGCCTAAATGAAGTTCCAAATAAAACTGTGGCACACGTTAAATAAGCTGACGTGTGACTTTCAAGCGCCCAATGCAGAAGTAGGTGCTTGATACAATGTATTCCTGTTCCTCGCTCGCTGCCTGGAGTCATTCAGTACTTGTTGAAGGTGGATGCTGTGTGATCCTGGGCGAGTCCTTTCCCTTCCTGGGCCTGTTTCCCCCAGTGCGAAATGAAAAGGCTGCACCAGAGGCTCTTGGTTGACTTTCCAGCTGCAGCACTGAGGCCCCCCCTTTCCGCGAGTACAGAAGGACCAGCTCAGGGAACATGCGGACCAGGAGGACGGGGACCTGAGGAAGGGACGAGCCGTGTCTGATTTTCCCAGGGGCTCCTCAGAATGAGGATGAATTACAGAGTGAGAGCAACTGCTTTCATCGCTCCCCTTTAGAGGGTTTTGCGTCCTGGAGACTGGCATGCGCAGAGCACACGAGGGAGAGGGAGTGTTCGCCCTTGTCAGCCTAGGATGAGAAGGGGACGTGCCGGAGCCCGCTGGGCACAGGGAGGGCAGATACTCCTGGGGGGACAGAGACGGGAGAAACAGCCGTGAGGCACAGCTCCGCCCAGTAGACCTTCTGCACTGACAGACACGCCCTGTCCGATGTGGTGGCCGAGAGCCCCGTGTAGCCCCTGAGCACTTGGAATATGATTAGTGTGGCTGAGAAACTGATGTAGTTAAATTTAAACAGCCGTGAGTGCAATTAAAAGGAGCAGGTAACATCCGTAGCCACCGTGGGACAAGGTCGAGTCCTTCCTGGTTCCGGACGCGCTGTGGGGCTCCCGGGGGTGGAGCAGAGGAGCAGCCATCGGCCATGCCTGAGGCTCAGCCTGCCGCCAGGGCCGCTGGACACAGGCCACCTCTCCGGGGGCAGGGAGAAGCCACGTTTGGGTAAAAGAAGGGTCTAAAGCCAGGGGGAGCAAACACAGTTCTGTGTCCCCCGCTCCTTCCACCTGCACTGGGGTTATTTAAATGCAAATAAATGAAATAAAGTAAAATGAGCAACTTCTCAGTCGCAGTAGCCACATTTCCGGTGCTCAGTGGCCACACACAGCTCGGGGTGACCATGCTGGACGGGGTGGACCTAGGACCAAAGGCTCCCTGTACCTCTGGGGTTTGTGCCTCATGACTTCGAGGGGCTTCTTTCTCCAGAGCAGCCCGGGGTATGAAGAGCTGTAGGCCCGCCCCGCCCTGTCTAAAGGGGACAACCACCCTTGACCGCCCTCCACCGCCCCCCACCGCCCCCACGGCCCTCCACCACCTGCGTGAATGCGGCCACGCTGCCAGGTGTCTGTACCACCCAGGGACATGACTGTGGCCACGGGACAGAAAGCTCCTTTGCGCCCACACCGTGTGCCCTGTTCCAGGCGTGGCCAAAAACAAACATCCCCGAAGGATCCTGGTGGGGCAGCTCCTTTCTGAGGGAAGTTCGGCAGCATCTTAGACAAGGGCTTAGGAAGTAACTACTGGGGCAGATCTTTGTACCAGTGGCCCCAGGGACTCTGCCTCCCTGTGTCCGGCCCCTGGACCTTGCCGCCCCTCCCCATCAGGACCGGAAGTCTATTTGTCCACCCTCTTGAATCTGGGCCGGCTCTGGGGCTGGCTCTGGGCAACAGGACGGGCAAAGGAACATCTGTGAGCTCCCGAGTCTAGACCTGCCTCTTTCTTTCTCGCCCTCTGGGACCCTGGGACCTCAGGGGTAGCCGCCCACACTAGGCTCCTGGAGGCCACGAGAGGCAAAACCAAGGGCCACAGCTGAGTGCCAGAGGTGTGAGTCACCACCCGGAACCGTCCAGCCCCAGGGGCCCCCCGGCAGCTGCACGAGTGACTTCAGAGGGGTTCCGATCGCAAAGGATTTCCCCAGCCAACCCTGAGAATCACGAGAAACAATGAATTGTTGTTTTAAGCCACTATGTTTTGGGGTGGTGTGTCTCCTAGCAATGAATCCTGAAATACATACTCTTTTCATAAAGCAATTCCACTTGAGGTATTTATACCAATAAAAACTAACTCCAGCCCGCCCAGTGTGGCTCAGTGGTTGAGCGTCAACCGTGCACCAAGAGGTCGCCAGTTCGATTCCCTGTCAGGGCACATGCCCAGGTTGTGGGCCCGATCCGCAGTGGGGGGCGTATAGGAGGCGGCCAGTCAATGTTCTCTCTCATCGATGTTTCTATCTCTCTCTCTCTCCCTTTCTCTCTCTCTAAAAACCAATAAAAAAATTTTCAAAAAATAAGAACG